CCAAAAGCAATCTACAGATTCAATACAATCCCCATTAAAATCCCAACTCAATTCTTCACAGAGTTAGAAAAGGAAATTCTCAAATTCATATGGAATAACAAAAAACCCAGGATAGAGAAAACTATTCTCAACAATAAAAGAACTTCTGGAAAAAAAATCATTCTTATAGTAACTAACAAAAAGAATAGAGCCTGTGGCTGGGCAAAGGGCCTCCCTAGGCAAAGTAGTCAGACACGGCTATCTGAGGCAGTGACTAGAGGCTGAGGGCAGAGAACCTGGGAAAGAGTGTCCCAGGCCGAGGACTGAGCCAGGGCAGAGGCTGCATTGAGCTAAGAGGGACAAAGACTTATGTGGAGAGTGTCCGGTAGAGGCAGAGAGAGGTTGGAGAGATAGGCTGTTTGAGTTAGGGTTTCTATTGCTATGATAAACGCTGTGAGCAAAAGCAACTTGGGGATGAAATAGTTTATTTCATCTTATACTCCCTGGTCACACTCTATCCCTGAGGGCAGTCAGGGCAGGAACTCAAGGCAGGAACCTAGAAGCAGAAACCGATACGGGAGCCATGGAGGCATGCTGCTGACTGGCTTTCTCCCTTGGCTTGCTCAGCCTTCTTTATCACAACACCCAAGATCATCAGCCCAGCACAGCCCAGATCAATCATTAATCAAGAAAATACACCACAGGCTTGCCCACAGACCAATCTGGTGGGGGAATTTTCTCAATTGATGGTCCCTCTTCCTAAGTGACTCTAGCTTGTATCAAGTTGACATAGAGCTATCCAGCCCACATATTTTTGATCCAAGAAGCAAAACTCAGAGTTTTATCCTCTGCTATGTTCTGGTCACATGACCCTGTTTGGTCCTCAGCTCTGAGGGAGAAAGGCAAAGACAAGCTCCAGAATGATACTGTCTGTCCCCAACTTTGTGCTTTTTTGTAGTGGCCTTATGGCAGGCCTTCCAACCTTTCTAGGCTGCTTATTCATTGACTGAGTCAGAGAAATAGTGGTACTCACCTTGCAGGCTAGATGAAAGGACTACTTAGTTAGCTTTGGGCTGTGGAAAGAACACAGTAAAGCTTAAACTGTCAACTATAGCCATTCCTTTCCCCCCCTTTCCTCTGTCATTTTATGTATTTATTTATTTATTTATTTATTTATTTATTTATTTACAGGGGTATGGCTTGGTGTGCCCCCACATGTGCTTAGAGATCAAAGGACAACTCTGGGGAGTCATGATTTTCTCTTTCTACCATGTGGGTCCTGGGGATCCAACTCAAGTAGTCAGGGGCTTTACCTGATGAGCCATTATTCTGACATCTTCTTTGTCCTTTTAATAACAAGATACAGAAGCCTATTCAAGCTATAACAAGTTATATCAAGAAGAGGAGGGTGAGGTCTCTCAAGGATTTCAGGGCAGTGGGGTGGGTACGCACAGTTTGTTCTCATGCTAGGTCCACGTGACTTTGTTCTCAGAGGTACTGGCCTCCACCATGGCCTTCCTACAACCATTCACCCCTCATTTTGTAACTTCTGCTAAAACTTCCTTTAAAAGGCCATCCATTGGCTCAACACACAAAGGGCCAGGAAAGAGAGACCCTCAATTGAGAAAGTTCTCCTACTAGATTGGTCTGTGGGCAAGCCTTTGGTACATTTTCTTAATTAATGATTGATGTGGGTTGTGCTATTCCTGGGCCACATCTCACCCCTCATGACTTCAGCCTCTTATTGTCCATAAATCCCACCTCTCCACCCCTGACTTTGTCATTGTGGTCTTTTGTCTTTTGTTCCTCCTGCTAACTTCCCAGGATTTTGTAACTTCTGCTAAAACCTCCCTTAAAAGGTCATCTATTGGCTCAACTCACTGAAGGCCAGGGTTACTATCCAATCACCCACACTTCCGTTTGTGTCAGTGGCCATCTATGGCTCAGTCCTTTGGGGTAAGGAGATAAGGCCGATACTGAGAGCGTTCTCTAAAGTCTTTGAGGTATCAGACCACGTCCTTTAAAAAGCATGGTGGGCAGAGCAGGGATGATTCTGCCCATACCTCATGTGGGAACTCAGAGCAGGAAGTAATAATGATCAGCCTCCCTAGTCTCTTGACTTAGAGATAAGGAAATGGAGGCTGACCTGGGCAAGAGACTTCCTCCAGTTAGTGGCAGTGGAAATAGTGGAATTTCAGCTAAAGTTTTTCCTTTGAAATAAGTTTGATGCAGCCAGTCATTAGAAGTCCAACAGCTTGTTCTTCCTTTCCACAGAGCACAGAGGTGAGGCAGGTGACAGTCACCAGGGCCTGTGGCAGTAGCACTTGTGTTACAGATTGACCTTTCCAAGTGGCTACGTGACACACAATGCAGCCGCTTCTTAGCCACGAGTTCCTAACAAAGGTAGGCTGTATTATGTTATGTGCAGCTTGCCAAGGTCATTCACTGATGATAAAGCTAAGATCTACATTCAGGTCTGGGTAACCCGCCTCGAGCCTTTGCATAATATTCTTGACAGAAGCTCGTCAATCTGCATGCTGGGGCTAAAGAAGACTGGAGTGGGTATGTTTGGTGTAGGTCTGGGAGAGTGTTGACAGCTGAGGGGGGCAAGTGTCAGGATAGCCAGGGGTCTCTTTTCTCCCTGATCCAGTTAGATCTGTTTTCGTCAACTTTAATCAACTTAGGTAGAGTTATCTGGGAAGAGGGAAGTCAACTGAGATAGCTTATAGGTGAGTCTATAAAGCATCTTTTTGATTAATGATTGATGTAGGAGGATCCAGCCCACTGTAGGAGGTGCCACCCCTGAGCAGGTGGTCCTAGGTTATATAAGAAAAGTAGTTGTGCTAGGACACTTCCTCCACCTGGACTTGACACTTGGGTCTGAATCCTCTCCTAGTTTTAGCTTCCTGTCACATATATCCAATATCCTACCGGATGCAAACCTATATGCTCAGCAGAGAGCTAGAGTAGAAAAAAATGACAGAAGAAAAAGTGTCCCTACAGTAGTAAAGTCCAACATGGCACAAATGTAGAGAGTTAATTAGAATTATTCTCAATATCGGCATTTAATAGAAATCAATCAATGATCTATTCCCCCTAGAAGAAGCTGGGACAGACTTAACCCCTTAAGTGGTTGTCAGAGTAACCAGAGCTCCCAACAATCAGGCATGTGTTGATCACAGAATCCTGGGAACTGTGTCCTTCAGCAAGCAGGGCAGCAGAAATGATACTGAGGAATCCTAGTGGAGAGTGCCAGTTCCCTCGACCGTAAAGTAGAGAGACAGACTCTACCATGGCGGGTACTCGTAGAGATCCAGGGCATGTGAAGTACTCAGCATACAGCACACACTTGATGGATGTCATCATTGGTAAGTGGGTCAGTTTAGTATATTTGACTGAGCCTGGTGTAACGTATCAGTGAGTGCTGTGTGAGTACTACCCTAGCATTGAGTGGAACTGAAAACTATTGCTGTTTTTTATTATTCGTGGACCTCCAGGGTACATCACCTCTCCTAATCTAGTACGGAACGCTATTCTTTGCTGATACAGTCTGGAGAGGGATGACGGCACCCTTGTAAACAGGGGGTTATCTATTCCTACTTATAGTTGTCTGCCCAAACCTTGAGCTACTCTAGGGGTTGGCCTCTGACTCAATTCTAAGGATGGAGAATCAGTCCCAAGATGCTTGTTCTCCTGAGGCTGAGGGGGTGCAGGTAGTGGAAACTTTTAGCATCATTGAGTAGCCATTACACAAGACAGGTTGTGGTGAGAAATGGCCCAAAGAAACTTTGCCTCAATCCTAACTTGAAGACAGCCCAAGTCTGGGGTATCTAATGTAGGGGCCAATGCATTCTCTTGCTTAGGACTGCTTGAGTTGGAGAGTTTTACCATTCATAAACCAATTTCTTACACAGATTTGAGTACGAGTAAACAGTTCAGCCATGGATCATGTGTCCGTGCAAGTCAAGCAGTCAGACAGCTAAAGTTTGCCCTTGGTGCAAATTTTGTGCCTCAGAGTTAGAGGTTCACTTCTGTTATTTGTTGAGTTGGAACTGATTAGGGTAATCAGGCTGTGAGCAGCTTCAGAACTGGAGGGTAGAAACTGGGTCTCATCCATCTATGTTCCCAGCAGCCAACTTGGGGCCAAGCACATAAAAAGATACTTGTTGGATGACAGGCTTCTAATTTGGGATTCCAGGATGCTATGACAGGTAAATGGATTGTGGAATGTGTATTAAAATGTAGCCTTCTAGAAGATTCCATAGCAGAAGAGCCTGGCATAGCAGAAGCCACCACACAGTGGTGGGATTTGGATGGGTGTGGTAGTTACTGGGGTTGTGGAAAAGACCCATGCACAGAGACCATTACATGAAGATCCACCAGAGGGAGCTTCAGGCCCTGAAATCTTCCTTGACTTGCCCAGGTGGCTAAAAGACACTTTCTACACAAGGGCACCTGACCCAGTCTTGGGGCCATGAATATACAGTAAGAGGAGACATGAGGCACATGAAAAGTGCAGGGCTTAGCAAACAGGTGGTTCAAATCCTCACTCCTCCACTTCTACAGCTAACCTTTGTTGTGTAAAGCACTGCTTCCTTAAGTAGCTTCCCTTTCCTCTCTCTTCTCTTGAGAGTTGGGCATATCCAAGTCTGTCAAAACTTTCTCTAATTCATCACTTTGTCTGTCACTCAATTAGACATCACTTTCAAACACTGGTTCGTCCTTCTACAAACTAACTTTCATTGTTTGGGATTAAAGGTGTGTTTAAGGTCATGTCTGTGTGTATTCCAGCCAGACAGATTAAAGGTGGGTGGTAAGGGCTGAGCCACACCACAACTAGAAACAGAGTTCTTCAGTAAATAACACACTCTCAGTGTTCACAATGGGATCAGATATCCTGCAACACTAGAGTATGTTTTCAAGGAGGCTGATGGAAGAAGTATACAGACAGCGTGGACTGAAGGATAAAAAGGCCACTCCCCTTGGTGTGTCGTTACCCTTGCAAACAACCACAGAATATGTTTGAGAAAAAGTTAAGCTGTTTTATTTCACAGGATAGCTCCACATCAAACCAGCAGGCACCATCAGAATACGCAACAGAGGATCCAATCAGACACTCTATAGGACGGGCATTTGGTCATAAGGTAGAGAAATGATACCCAGAAGAGGGCAACAGTTAGCATCACATGGGGACAGGCAACCAGCAATTTCCTAGGGTGGTTTCAGTTTGTTTTTCCTGTCATAATTTGGGGGAAGAAAGAAAGCAAAGCAAACAAAATAGAACAGCCACTCTGAAGCAATCAGAAGCAAACCTATTGCCAAACCATGTAAACAGTCACACTGCCTGGAACGAGGGCCTGGGCAGCAGAGCTAGCCTCGACCCACTTCCATCTAGGGAAGGAAAGTGCACTCTGGCAGTTCCTCATCAAGGAACAGCTTTGTGATTTGCCTGGGACAGTTTGCACAGAAAGGAGTTGTCAGCAAAAGACAGCAATAGCCATTTGGCCAGTCCCAAAGGATAGGACAATAGTATGCTGGCAGATCAACCTTAAGAGAGGCCAGGAGGTCTCGGACTGACAGTGAAGTCCCTTCTGGCAGTTCCCATGGGTAGCTTGGAGTATGTGGAATTCTCCACTTCGAATTCATTTCAGTGGAGAAGAGATCCCAGAGAACCAGGGAAGTGGACACAAACTGTCAGCATTAGCTCTGCACAGCAGAAAATCAGCTAAGCAATACCTTGGTTCACCCCTTCCTGCCTTTTCCTCCCTGTCACGCCTTTCCCTCCCAGTCCAACAGGACCCACTACTGCAGCTAGAAATGACACCCCACTCCTCCCCTTTCTGTTTTTTTTTGTTTTGTTTTGTTTTGTTTTTTTCAGAAGAATGAGGCGTTTGCTCTAGTGTGGAACCATCTGGAAGATGAGAAGTTAGAAACAGAAAGGCTGAGAGGGAGGACTGTTGAGTTAGTCCTTGGGGTTTTCCAGCACTTGTTCCAAATGTATGTGCACTGGCCACTTAACGATGGCCAAGTACCAAGTCACGATATGTCCTCTGCATTCATGCCTCCTGAATAAGAAAGGAATGCACCCAACAAGGCACTCCAGGAGATGCCAACGAAGGGAGCCCTCTGTACAGGCTTCTCTCCCACCAGCTCCCCTTTGTGTACCACAAACCAGTTTTAAGTGTTTATAAGGCAGATCTCTGAACTGCTGGTTCCAGCCAGTAGCCAATGAATGGCTCCATTTCCCTGTGTCTCTTCCTACTCCGATTTGATTTCTTCAATGGGTATAAACCTTTCCGTTCCTTAGGAATCCGTTTCCCTCCTGACCCCTGGTTTAGTAACTTCAGAGAAAATACTCCCTAGTCTTAATTCCCACACCCACAATTCCCTCCAGTTGTGTGCTCTGTCCGGGGGTTCAAAAGGCGCTTCAAGGTGAGAAGTTAGCACTGAAGAGAAGGAAAGACGACAGTTGTTCACAGGATCCCACAGCTCAGAGCAGCTCGATGAGGAAAAGAGGAGGGCAGAGAGGGCGAGTGGGGTAGGAAGCTCGGCTTGTTCTCAAATTGATCGGAGAAAGGTCTTTAGTGGCAGCTGGGCCACATGATGCCCAGGAAACTAGACCAGGAATTAATTGTCTTTGGTCAGTTTTAATTAAATGAACATCTTGCTGGTTCATTCCTAAAACAGACTGAACACTGGTTATACATAAAGACAAAAGGCTTGACCTTGGGGTAAGTTGGAGGTTAAGAAATCATTCCATGAAGCCAAAATAAAATTTTTTAAATGCCCGTTATAAACTAACTGATCAGTACAGCTTTCAATAATGGTGATGGACATTGGTAGACACCACTTCCCCTTGTACGCTTGGCTATATTGAGGACTACTAACTATTGTTACTACACCCCCCCACCCCAATCACTGTACAATTAGGTTTCTGGTATTTGTTTTTACATCAATCTATCTACTAGGTGCAAAGATTTGGTGAGTGGCAATGGCTATAATGTAATTGTAGCCTTCTTTTAAAAAATTACAGTTTCACATTTTAACAGTTACTTTCCAGCATTTAACAAACACAGCAATATATAGTGGACTAAAAACAGGCAGGAGTCAGATGCGAGATGCTCACACTAGACAGACACCGGTGGGGTGGAGTTGGGACCTGGGGGTGGCTGAGACATGCAAGGCGACCAGATGAAGAAGTGTGTCGGGGATGGGGGTGGACAGTGTTTTTCCATTTGTTCTGCATCAAAGCTCAGATAGGGGGATGGAAGAGTTGGGGACTCATCTGCCATCTGTGTGTGCGCTTCCCTAAATGTGAATTCATCAGCCACTTGCCAATGGGGTTGAAAAGATAGATGCTTAAGGAAAACAGCTGAGGCTCTGCTCTTGGGACATTTGGGGAGAGGCAGTAAGGAAAAAGAAATAAGTCAACCCAGAGACAAATCTTCACAGCATAACTGGCCATAGGTGTGTCAGGTAATAGATTTGTAAACTCAATTTTGCTTCTATCTGGTATCCAGGCAGGGAATATTGCATTTTTGCCTGGGAGGTGAGTGGACTTAAAAATCTGGGAATAGCCCTGGGATACAAAAGAGAAGTCTTATCTCCTGGATGCATAGCAGAGATAGCAGATTCCTGCAAAGAAAGGCTTCCTTAGCCTGATGCAGCCCACTAGTCCATCTGGCATATCTTGTGCAGGTCCTAGCCCACCCCTAGGCCTTACTCTCTTCAGCTATAAAATGGAGATATCTTTATGTGCTCAAAAACAGAGGGCCCATCATAGCAGGAGTTGAGAGGGAAGGAAGGCTGGATGGCTCGGGCATCTTACTGACATTCTCATTTTGAGCCCATTCTTGATCCCACAGTGTACTCAGTGCTGATCTTACAGGCAAGGCAGAATGGGTGATCCTCCCCATACCTAAGGACCAGTGACTCACTAGGTCGCTCCCTGGGGAAGGGGGCAAGTTACCTTTAAATGGAGGACCCAGAGATGGGGGAAGCAAACCCAAAGGGAAGAAATGCCAAGGAGGGCACTTCAAAGCATCTGTGGGTGACAGGAGTGGTGTAGCCTCGACTCACTTGGCTCCTGTGGGGGCTGTGACTCAGATTCTGGATTTTGGACTGTAAAATTTGGAGGTAGGCAGAGAACCAGCCAGGGTGTGTGTGTGTGTGTGTGTGTGTGTGTGTGTGTAAGAGAGAGTGGGGGAGAGAAGGAGAAGGAGGAAGAGGAGGAGGAGAAGGAGGAGGAAAAGAAGGAGGAGGAGAAAGAGGAGGAAGAGGAGGAGGAGGAGGAGGAGGAGGAGGAGGAGGAGGAGGAGGAGGAGGAAAAGATCCTTGGTTTGGCATGCAGAGGGAGAGTACAAATGGCCCCATTAGGGTTAGATTCGCCTGTGGCGCACTATCCAACAATTCCTGAAGTATCTGGAAAATGGAGACAACAGAAAAGCAGGTAAAACGGAATCCAACGAGAGCCATGCAGGGGGCTGTTGTGACGCTGCAGAATCACGTACCTTGTTTCTATCACCACGTTTGTCTACGTTAACTGCATTAGAAGGAATGGAAGAAGAGGAAGGGAAGGGAGGATGGGGAGCACTGCCCTTTTCACAGAATCTCAGCCTATGGTGTTTCCTAACACAGTCCTCCTAGGATGGAGGCCAAGGGCTGACTGGGCACTGGAGGCTCCAGCGGGGAGCAGAGCATGGTGCGGACTGCTCTCAAACAGAAGTGGTGTGACCGAACGCCTCCTTGCCCATTTAGTTCCAAATCTGACAAAGCGTCATCAGTAGAATGAAGAGGAAGAAAACCATTAAATATTTTGAGATGAGAGAAGTAAAACTTGTGTAGTCACCACAGATTTATCCCTACAGCACTTCTAGGGTTTGAACTACTCCATACTACTGTTTTGGGTTTTGTTTTCTCCTGTTCTTTTCCCCCCAACTGCAGGTGATGCTTTGCTAGGATGGCACACAGCATCTCACCATCCTGATTTAGCATACAAACTCAAGGATCTTCACACCAACTTTCCCTGTGCCTTTTGAGGGTACAGTTGACCTTTGGCCTCCGGGCGACAGGGCAGGGTCTCTGGGGGATGGGTGAAAGGGTTTTCTAAGAAGGGTTCCCCACCTTTAGGAGCAGCCTGCTTGGGGGTACTGCCTGCCCCACCCTTCCTTGAGGGGCAGACTGTTCTGGAAGGCCACGACTTCTGGAGACAGCTGGAGACTGTTTCTGGTTTTGTGTCTCTGCAGGTTAGTGGTATATTGCTTCGTTCGCAGTTACTGTGGGGCCTCTAAGTTCTCCCAGAGAAGTCCCTGCAAATCCCACCAAGTAAGAGTGGGAGATGTTTGGTGGCGTGGGTCTGAGGTAAATCTAAGTTTCATAAAAAGAAAAAAAAGCGTCTATATACAGTTAGCATGTGTGTATGTCCAGCTCTCTAGTATATGTATATAGATGCATAAATATATATATACACACACCTACAGACATATACGTACACATATGCGCATATATGCATGTACTTATATACACACACATATATACGTATGTAGAGAATATCGAGAGAATAATTTTCCAGTGACAATATGAGAAGCTGGTAAGCATCTGCCTCGATCTTAGGAAACACTGTCCTTGGGACTAATCTTGCTCCAGCATTCCTTGGGATATCCGTTTGCCCACAAGAGGTCTGTGGCATTCACATGGCTGAGTAGGAGTTGCAGCTAACGCCTGGGCCTCTGCTCTCCACAGACATACACCCTCCCAGGTTGACCTTCTAGGATCTGCCCTCCAAGGCCAGGAGATCCCTGTGAAGCAAGTGGAAGCCACTGAGGCTACCCTAGGCCTTGGTATGCTGCAGTGGGCCACAGCAGTATCACCCGGTCCTGCAGGTCACATGGTGCCAGACTTGTCCGAGGAGCTATTAGGGAACATCTTCTCCGTAGGTGTCACTGCCGGGCTGCCCACACCTGAGCTGCTGCTGCTGCTGGATCGATGCTGGACCACAGGTCTGACTGGACGCATTGGGGGTGGACGCAGCTGGGCACCAGCCAGGCGAGCCGACAGGGCTGGCTTGAAGGTAGTCATCATTTCAGTAGATGAACTGCTGCTTCTGCGCATAGCAGCATCAGGGTCTCGGATGACAATGGTGTGCAGGGGACTGGCGGGCTCTGAGCTGATGGGACCTGGTGGATTCTTCAGGGGCTCCAGGGTGTCCAGCACCACATCTGGTGCCTGCTTGACAGTGTTCTGTCTCTCAAGTTCCCGCAACTCATGTAGAGCCGTGCTCATGGTCTTCTCGATGTCCTAGGGACAGAGAGTGTTCTGGTCAACACAGTGACTTCAGAACTGCTAGCCAGTTCAAGATCTTCCAGAGGATGCTTTCTGGAAGCCCTATTGCCCAGAGAGAGATCAGATCCCGAGTGTGTCTTGTAACGAACTCAGGGAATCAGCACGAGCATTCCCTTTTCCTGTCCTGCATAGGAAGTCACCTTCATAAAGGCAGATCAGGTTATGGCAGGCAGACAGACATTCAGTCAAAAAACTGACTCTGCTACCTCATTGCTATGGGACCTCTGAGCATTGACCTCTCTGAGCCTGAGAATTCTCACTGGAAAATCACAGCAATTATAATACCTACCTCAGAGGGTTGATGGCTGTATAAAATGATCAGGCTCTTGCAAAGACATGGGTACAGCACCTGGCACATGGTGAGCACTCAAACAGTAATAATAATCCCCATGGCAATGATACCTAGTGCTGAGTACTTATACAAAGCTTTTAATTTATTGATAAGGTAGGGGTAACTATTACACTCAATTCACGAATAAGGAAACCGAAGATCAGACTAGTCAAGTACCTTGCCCAGGGTCACACAGCTAAACAACAAGGCAATCCAAGTCAGAACCCAGGCAGCCTGGCTCCAGAGTCTCTGCCCTAGCCATTGTGTTGTTGTTGTTTTGTTTTGTTAAATGTCCTTTGTTAAGACAAAGGTAGAAGGATGGCTTAGTGGTTAAGAAAACTGGCTCCTTTCCCAAAGGACCCAGGTTCAATTCCCAGCACCCACACAGTGGCTTACAGTGTATCTCCAGTCCCAGGAATCTGTCTGTCACCCTCACCTGCCTCTGTGGCCACTGTGAACATGTGGTATATAGACATCCATGCAGACAAAACACCCGTGCATAAAATCAATGAAAAAAAAAGTCTTAACATTTTAACACATACAGATATTGAGAGAATTCATACTTCACCCTACAGAATTATTTAACTGTATGCCAGTTTTAAAAGTTAAAATAAAAATCCTTGCTGAAAGAGAAATTACTACCTACAAAACCTACATCATGCATCCTAGAATGACAGAATGACAGAAAGGTCACTTTCCTCCTAGCGTTATGATCTAAAAGGTTCATGCCTTGCTTAAAAAGTGGGAAAAAATTTAAATGGCACATAGTTGTATCTGCAGGCTCACCAAAAAGAGAATACCTCAGGCGTCAGAGGAATAGCACGCCTGAGTGAGCTCCTTGTCTACCAATCCAGGGCAGGGCTAGGGCTGAAGGCAGCACTGACTAGAAATTGGGCAAACACTAGCCACTCTGAACTGCACTCCGTCCATCTGTTGAAAGCCCACACTTGCTGTGAAGACGTGGTGAGAGGATGGACAGGAGGAAGCTCTGCAAACTGCCGGACAGTGGTCATCCAACTCATCAGAGTTCATGTCTTTGTTCATGGGGCTTTTAATGGGGCTGCCACCATATCCAGGCTGATCTGACCTAGAACCTACGGAGGATGCAAGGGACCTGTCTTAAAACTTACACTTGCAGGTGCCATGTCCAATCTGAGCAATGTTGGCTACTAAGGGATACTTGCTCTTAAACTGTCTGAGGCCAGCCCTTGGAAGAAGTGCATGGCTCTTAGGAGACAGATGGGGCTGAAGCCTGGAGATACTGAAGAGGCCTCTATCCACCTGAGTACTTCGTGCTCTCCTTACTGGATCTGCAGGCATCCTCCTTCCTGCCAGACTCCAAAGTTTCCCCCACCAGCCTCTTGCTCACCTCACTATGCCAGTCTATCCCATTTGCTTTCTCTATCCTGCTAATGACTAATACCAGTTTTATGCCTCCCCGTTTTGTTTAACTCTTTGCAAGCTGTGCTGGCAGCTTTAAGAAGGAGTCTTCGGTAGTTTCTTTATCCAGCGGCTCAGTTGTAAGTGACTCTACAGGCAGGGCTCTTCTCCCTATCTACTGTACACATGCTGTGCAGGGTCACCCCAGCCTCCAACACTATTCTGGGACTTGGTCTTCTGTTGTCCCCTCTGTCTGCTCTAATGCAATGGGAGCTGAAAGATAAAAGTGTCAATAACTAAAATGTAATTTTCTCATTTCCCCCCCCCCATCCCTGGTAGAGTGTGAACAGGAAAGACAGAAAGCTCAGAGAAAGGTGGGCTGAAGGGTTTAGGCTGCAGCCTTGCATTAGTCTGATGAGGAATGCATAAGTCTGCCAGGTGAAGCTGCAGAGAGGCACTGGGGACCGAGGGACACTGTTGGGAAGGTCCTCATTTTTCCACTTACTCCCCACTTCAGATGACAGTGTCGCACATTTCTATAACAGTCTCATTACCAGAGCATTCATTCAACTTTGTTCAAGGCATCTGGAGACCAGAAAATCTAGAGTGAATCCATCTACTATTTGGGGTTCTCCACACCACCTCCCTTTTGACTCAGGGATGAAGTTGAACAAGTGGGTAGCTGGCCAATGTCTTCTTGACTGTTTCCACAGTTTCCCGTGAGCTTCAGTTTCACTTCCACCAGTGAAAAGCACTATCCAGTGGGTATGCACACTGAGAACACACATAGTATTGCTAAGTCTATTTCTTGGGTTAGGCTAATAAAATGCTCCTCAAATAAAACTAAAGAAGTCTGGCAATGGACACACTCTGTTCTTGCTGGAGATCCACAGTGCACAACAAACTATTGCAAAACTCCAAAATATCTTGCCAACACACCTTTCTACTTAGAGTATCATAGCATAAATGATGCTAACTTCAGAATACCTCTCTCAGTCCACTGGCATCTCATAGCAGTCTGTGATGCGTTAGGCACAATGCCCCAGACTACATGTGAGTGTCTGTGTAAAGGGCCCAGCTTTAGGAAGCCCGTCTTGTGAAGATGCTAGGTGTTAGGGTGATGGTTCTCAAGAGATTAGCCTTCAAGGATAGGAGGCCAAGTTGGCTGTCTCCTCTGCTTGGCCCATGCCAAGGAATTGACCACAAGTACTCTCTGGAAGTAGGCATCGGTATATGAGGTAAAGGTCACGTATGGAGTTCTAGCTGTTGGTGCATTGCTTCCAGCCAGGGTATTCTCTGAGGATCTTCCCTGGACTCTCGTAAGGATGTGTAAGGATCTGCTAGGCCCTGTTATCTCTTAAGTGAGAGACAACATCAAGAGAGGTATGTAATGGACCACTACCCAAAGTTACAGCTAGGGGAATAAAAGTGGAGACTTCTGGGAATGTAATGTCAAAACCAGATATGACCAGTGATGTGAACTGGTAAACAATGCATGGTGTTTTTCATCTGGCCAGTGGGAGAAAAAAAAGAAAACAAAACAAAACAGGAAGTACTCTGGAAGAGCCTGAGATAGTCTTCCATTCTGCTTCAAATACTCAGTCTTGCCAATCTCTTGGGTCATATCCTCCCAATGCATTACTTCCAAACTGTAGATTCTCAAAATATGATGATGTAACCCTTCCCCCTACTTATTAAAGACACCCAGTGTAGCTGCCATTTTGAGTTGGTAGTTCTCTTTAACTATAAGCTCATACGGGCAGGATCAAAGTACACCAGGTCTCCACTGTACTTCATTGTACGTTATGGATGTCACACAATAGGTGCCCAGTCAAGATTCATCAATAAATCAATAGAGTAATGAACAAAGGATGGATACATGCATGTATACACAGATAGATACATGCATGGATACACGGACTCAATAGCATCTTGTGGAGAGGTCTGCCATTGTCTCATCCCCATAACCCTGGACACTAGGGGGTCTTCCAGTCTTTACAAGGGCCACAGCTAGTGACATGGAAAGGAAGCCAACTCATTGTCTTGTCAGTCTCAAGTCCCAAGGCCACTGTGGTCCCCACTCAACACTTCCCACCCTCTGAGCCACTGGGTGTCTCACTGGCCTAAGTGTCTTCTGTGGGGCCCTTACTTCTGCCAGGGCCTCAGCTTCCAGGGACTTGTGGTCCCCTAGGCTGCTGTGTCGCGTAGAGCCGCAAGTCGACCTCATGGAGATCCCTTCGGTCAACGCCTTCTTGTCAGGGTAGTTGATGCTGCCAGCGCTCCCGAATGTCGCCATCCTCCTCTTCTCAGGACTCTCAATTCGTCCCCGGCTGAGGGGGATTTTGTGGGGGCTGCTGGGGCAGGCAGCAGCTCGGGGTGGCGTGTCTATGCTGGGACCCAAGCCCCGGGGCGGGCTGTGTGTGTCGCCCCCACTTCGGCGTCTGGGGATGGCTGCTCCGTCGGACCGTAGTCGCACTCTGCAAAGGAGCCAGGGGCAGGAAGCATGGGGCAGAAGTCAACCCTAGCCAGTCTCAGAATGCACCAGCCAACCCCCGTGCTACAGCTACACGTGAATCTAGCGGAGCTACCACAGTGAAGCCTCATTCACCCAGAATGTACAGTTTAGCAATAAAGGGCAGGCTCAGACCTGTGACACCTCCCCTAAAGGGGAAAGAGTAACCTGGCCCAGGGAGGAATGCGGAGAGTGGGAGCCAGGCTGGCTGCAGCAATACTGCAGACCCGATTCTAAGGACAAGTGGATTCTAAGGTCAAATCAGGGCAGGAAAATTTCAAACTGGAAATGCTGTAGCTAGCCGTGGTTATATATAATTTGAAGCCATTCAGATTCTAGCTGGTTTGAAACACTGAGGCTTGATTGTACCAAAAAGCCACAGGAGGGGACGCCATTGTAAAATGTGCCCCGTGTCTATGGGTACCTTGTCCACCTCCAGGGCTCTACTGGTATAAAAGCTGCTTGGGGGGGGGGGGCACAAGCCTTTGACCCTGTCTGCCACAGCTTTCCTGTAGTCTCCGAAGCCCATTCTGTGAATCGGCCACACCAATGGACTACCTCTCACCTGCCCACGTTTGAGTGAGTTTACAAATAACGTAAAGATTGCTCTGTCCTATGGAAGTCACTCAAGATATAGAGGCCTCCATGAGGGGAGGGAAGGTAGGATGGGGATAGGGAAGGATGGGGTACTGGGCATGGACCAAGTTCCACGGGACTGGTGACAATTCAAACCCTCTGCCCCCAGCAAAGCTAAGCAAGCCTGTGGGTGCCCCAATAGGACCAAAGCATAGGTGTTGGGGAGGAAGAGGCTTTGAGAGAGAAAAGAAGAAAGATGAGCGAGGGAAGAGGGGAGTAAGGCAGGAGATGATATGGTCCTCCGAAGATCAGGGGACCATTCCATGGTCATCAGTGGACCCCAGTCTTTGACTTCTCCATGGACTCTATCATCCTGCAGTGTCCAAAACTGAACTGAATAGACTTAGCTCCCAAAAGAGGCATCAGGACCTCAACTAAAATAAACTCTTGAGTATGCTCCCATTGTATGCTGACACAGGTGGCTTCCAATCACTGAAAAAACTGGGTTGATCACATGGCCCTTCTGCTGCAGGGGTGGGGTGGGGTGGGGCACACAGACTTGACACTCTAAGAGGACACAGGGTTGGGGGTGAAGCAGAGTGACAGACTATTAGCTTTCTCTCTTTTCCTGTTCCCAGGATGACTTGCACAAGGCTGTGCTGGTAGAAGGATCATGTGATGCACCCCAGCCTCTGTGAAGAAACTGGCAAATCTGCTCCCACCGATCAGGTGGGTAGAGTCGGGTATCAACTTTCACTGGCACAAAAGGAGGTGTGAGCTCTCTGTTTAAGTGGTGTGTTTCAGGGATGGGGGACTGTGGGAACTTTAGATTTTTAAAAATATTGTATAACAAATCATCTCCAGCAGAAAGCTGGAAGGATACAGGAGCTGGAGGAAGAAAAGCACTTGACAATTTTTCTCTCATCGCTCTCTTGTTCTCTCTTTCTGCCTCTCTCTGTCTCTCTATTTGTGTATGTGTGTGTGTGTGCACACATGCATGTGCATGCATGTCTGTCTCTGTCTCTCTCAGTATTATTCTATTAAATTTTCAAGAAAGTCTTACTATGTGGTCAGGTTGACCTATGATTATTATTTAAAATAAAAAGTTCTATGATCCCAGCATATATCTTCCTCTGCCTTTTTCACTGCCCCTCCTCCCACCTCTAGCTCACACCTAAAATCTCACCTCGAGTCCTTCCACCCAGCCCACCTAGCTGTTCCCAGTATCGTGGCTTGGAGAATCAAGGTACTATAACAGCCTTCTCCTACCCTTCCTGCCCTCTTGCTTCTTCCAATTCAGACACAAACAAACAAATGGGTACTAGTGAGACAAAAATGAACCCATGTTTCCTACCGGCCCATCACCCCCCCAAAGCCGTAATCAGAGATGTGCTCTGTGGGGGACTGGAGGTCATTCTTGGAGGAGGCCTTGTCATCCAGCAGTGGCCCACTGCTGGCCTCGCTGTCAGCCTTTTGGCTCAGGCTATCGGAGAAGGCATCGTCCCTGGGGAGGAGAGAGACGTGAGTTGGAGGTGGTTCCCATCTTCTGAGGAAGGCCCAGGCCTCCTCCACAGCTGTCTGCACACACCTATGGCTATACCAGCAGCCCAGGGTGAGCCCCTTCCCTCCTGTAGCCAAGCTCGCTAGCAGGTGGCTCCCTTGTATCCCACCCCTCTATTGTGGTTCCTTTCCCTTTTTCTAGCTCGTTCTTAGACCCTTTCAATGATGGAGACAGGTTGAAGAAATGAGTGTTGGAGTCTGCAAGCTAGGTACAGGGTACTGAGTGCTGAGTCTCTCAGCATAGAGTGCTGTATGCTGAGTTTCCTATGACTCCAGGCAAAGTGGTTCAGAGCCAAGCAAGGGAAGAAGAGCTACCTCAGTCCCTTATCTCCCTATCTGTGGTACAGGATACTTGTGAGATGGCCCATGCTTTTAGGGGTGCCCTGCCAGTTTCCCTCTATAACCTTCTCCTTCCAGTGACTTGTCCTTGTTGTCAGAGGTATGTGGACTCCAGGGCCGCCAGATGGCCTGCTATTAGAGCATCCACTTTCTCATTCACTTGGCCTTGGCCTTTGCTCAAACTCAGAACTTCCTCTCCTGTATCACAACATGGGCTTAGGTCTCTCTTCCTGTGGAACTTAGCTCTATAGCTGCTTCCAGGGCAGGTCAGCTCAGCTGAGCCTGTCCAAGCTGGAAGGGAATGAGAGAGCCCCACACAAAGTGTTGATTTCTTGAACTTTCTGACCATGCTGGATTCTTGGGACGTGTGGCTTTTTAACTCCTTTACTCATTAAGAATGGCACCTGGTTAAAGGAGAAGAAGGAATGTTTCTTTTTCTCTTTGAAGGTCACATCTGGAGTAAAGGACTGAGCACCTTTAGGGCTGGTGAGCTGATCACTGGCTACAGGAAAAGCTCAGGATAGTGGAGGGCTAGGAAAAGACCATAGGATCCTAATGTGCACGGTGGGTGATGACCTAGATGTGGCTCATGGGTCTGGACAGTGGCCCCAGACCTACTACTATCTCTGTGTCATCTGAAGGAGGAGCAACATGTATATTTCTTCTGTGGACTTCCACTTAAAGGAAGTTAGAAAAAAAAAACATTCTTAGGGATTATCAAACATGTCGAACCTGGAAGAACAAATTCCCAGTAGTCCCCTACCACTGCCCTTCCAGACATCACTAATCTATTACCTCATTCTTCACAAAAGGCCCCAGTTCTCACTCACATGTCCTGTACAACTATGTACTGATGAGGGATGAGTCCATCTACACCGTTGTGACGGCCCTCCCACCAGTCCTCTGAGGCACGGTGATACAGGAGTAGCGAGGCCCCTTTTTTGAAGGATAGTTCACGAGGAGATCGCCCCACATAGTCAAACTTAGCGATGGCCTCAATCTGCTCCACTTCTGGAAGAAAATCAAGAGAAAGAACATCTGTGAGGTCATAGGGGTGGCCCATGACTCATGCAGCCTTGGCTTCGGTGAGGAAGCATGGGCATCAGGCTTGTTGAACACATGTGGGCTGGCGCTCAGGACCCCAGTGTGCCGGGCTCAGACTCCTTCCCACTGCTTGATCTTAGGCAAGCCATGTAATTTCTCAGAATGTCCACTGAGTACCAGGCTTTGTGGCATAGACTTGGAATCGCAGCATTCTGGAGCCCAGGGAAGGAAGCTTGTGAGTTTGTGACCAATCTGGGTCACATAGTAATAACTGTCACATAAAAAATTAAATAAACAAATCTAAAATGTCCAGAGGGAGCTGGCATGCCAGATCCTTGTTTTCCATTGCATAATTACTGAAGCCAGTTTGGCCAGGTGTGGTAATGCACACCTATAATCCAAGCACTTGGGAGGTGGAGGTAGGATAACAGGAATTTAAGGCTAGTCTGAGCTACTGAGACCCTGTATCGTGTGTGTGTGTGTGTGTGTGTGTGTGTGTGTGTAGAAACTTCTGTTCCTTCTACACGTCAGTATATAGTCTATCACCACTTTCCTATGGGGTCTTTTCTCCCTGGTCCACTTTACACACAAGACCCCGTCCTGCCTGCAGCACTAGATCCCCATCTCTGTTCACTCACAATACTTTCCGTGGCTCTCTCTTCCTTCTCTCTTTCTTTTTTCCTTTGTTATGCAAGGGGTGAAACCTGGAGACTCACACACACTAGGCAGGTACTCTATCGCTTGGCCATACAGTCAGTCTTTCAGTGGCTCTCAGACTTCCAAACAGTGAATGAAAATGAGGACACAGTACAGTCAAGCTCATGGATGCAGCTAACCCCCTGCCTAGGTGAAATTTAGAGCTGCAAATGGCTGTGCTAAGAAAAATCCTAAATCAATAACTTCCACCTTCACCTTAAAAAACAGGAAGTTCAGGGGATGGAGAGATGGCTCAGTGGTTAAAAGCAGGCTGCTCTTCCAGAGGACCTGGGTTTGACTCCTAGCACCTACATATCAGTTCCAGTTTGAGAGGATCTAGCACCCTCTTCCAGCCTGCAAGGGCATTGCATGCACACGGTACATAGGCATACATGTAGGGAAAACGCAAGAAATAAATTTAAAATCTAAAAAAAAAATTTTTTTTAAGACATTAGAAGTACAAACTAAACCCAAACAAACAGAAAACAAAGATGTAATACAACTAGAGTGGAATTAAATGAGACAGAGACTAGGAAGCTAGGCGAGGTCCAAGCTGCTGGTTTGAAAATGATCAATGAAATTAACAAATCTCTAGCTAAATAAACTAAGAAAATAAGAATACAACTCACAAACCACATGAAGCTCATGAAGAAGGAAGACCAAAGTGTGGGTGCTTCAGTCCTTCTTAGAAGGAGTAACAAAATACTCATGGGAGCAAATATGGAGACAAAGTGTGGGACAGAAACTGAAGGAGGGGCCGTCCAGAGACTGCTCCACCTGGGTATCCATCCCATGTGCAGTCACCAAAGTCAGACTCTGATGTGGATGCCAGGAAGTGCATGCTGACAGGAGCTTGATATAGCTGTTTCCTTAGAGGCCTGCCAGAGCCTGACATATACAGAGGAGGATGTCCACAGCTAACCTTTGAACTGATCATGAGGTTCCCAATGGAGGAGTTAGAGTGAAGACTGTAGGAGCTGAAAGGGTTTGCGGCCCCATGGAGAGAGCAACAATACCAACCAACCAGAGCTCCCAGAGTCTAAACCACCAGCCTGGGAGAACATAGGGAGGAACCCATAGCTCCAGCTGTATATGTAGGGGAGGATGGCCTTGTCGGGGATAGGTGGGAGAGGAGAACCTTGGTCCCATGAAGGCTGGATAACCCAGTGTGGGGGAATTAAAGGGCAGGGAGGTGGGAGTGGGTGGGTGGGGGCACATCCTCATAGAAGCAGGAGGAGAGGAGATGGGATGGGGGTTTCTAGGTGGGGGAAATGGAGAAAGGGGATAACATCTGAAATGTAAATACAATATCCAATAAAAAATTAATTTAAAAAAAGAATGAAAAATCACACTAACCAAATATAAGATTAGAAATGAAAGAAGAATGTTAATGTTATTCCTTCGAAGGAAAAAGAGGCATCCTAAAGAAAGAACCATTGCCAACAACTATATATCAACAAACTAGAAAGTGGGATAAAATGAGAACATTTCTAAAGAATGCAGACTACTGAAGCAGGCTTGAGAAATAGGATATCTGGGCCCAATGAGGTGGCTCAACAGGACAGGCAGCTTGTTGCCAAGCACAAAATGTGAGAAGGAGAGAACCAAATCTTGCACATTGTCTCCAACCTCACAAGCACAAGCCATGACATAGGCACCCCTCCCCCAATAAACTAATATTTTTTAAAAAATAGAATATCGGGCTGATAAAATGACTTCAGTTCTCTTCTCATTAAACCATGTTGGGGGGAAAAACTGCATACAGCAATGCATATCTGTGTTCCAGCACTCCTGTGGTGAGATGGGGTGGAAGACAAGAGAATCTTCCAGAAGCTCCCAGGCCACCTAGCCTGTCACATGCAGCAACAGAAACAAGAGAAACCCTGTCTCAACAAGATGAAGGAGAAAGATGTCATTCGATTTCGTGCATGCCATGTCATGTGTGTGCCTGCCCATCATACGTGGACATGCACACATGTCAAGGATACATTTTAAGAAAAAAAATAGGAAACCTGAATGAGTGTCCAAGAGAATGCAGCACCTATGAAAGCACTACTCAGAGAGAAGTGCCTGGCCTATTTGGCTTCATTGCTGAACTATACCGAACACTTAAACAATAGTAATTATTCACAGAGTCTTCCAAAAAGCACAAGGGGGGGGGACACTTGGCAACACATTTCATGAAGCAAGTGTTATCTAGCACAAAACCTGGACTACATCACCAGGAATTGGCAGGCTGACAACACTTATGAATATGGGTGAAAATTTTCTCTACAAATTATTAGCAAACTAAGTACAGGAGTGTGTAAACGGAGTTGCACTTCATGCCTGAGAAGACTTTATCCCAGGAATGTAAAATTGTTTAGCATCTAAACATTCAATGAATGTATCCCATCTTACCAGTAAAAAGCACAGATGACATCATCGTCATAATGGATAAAGAAAAGCATTTGGCAAAAATCTAACACCTTCTCCTAACAAAACACTCCACAAAACATGAACAGAAGGGAGCTTCCTTGATTTGACAAATGCACCTTGGAAAAGCCTCACTGCTGGCTGGGAGAGATGGCTCAGCCACCAAGAGCATTTGCTGCATAATCATGAGGATGGGAGTTCAGGTCCTGGTATCCAGGAGACAGGCCAGGCATCTGGCATACATCTGTGACCTCAGCTCTGGGAGGGATGGAGTCAGAAGCAGCACTGAAGCTTACTGGCTTCCAGACCAAGTGAAAATATGTTAGCCCAAGTTCAGGGCTTGTGCCTCAAAGAAATAGTGATCAAAGAAGACATGCAACAACCCCTTCATGTCTTCATGTGTGTGCCAGACTCAAGTACACATGTGCATGAAAATGCACTCTCACACAGACACAGACACAGACACAGACACAGACACAGACACACACACACACACACACACACACACACAAAAGAAAACAATTACCCTGACAGTTAATATTCTCCCTTGTGGTAAAACACTAGCTGTTTTCTCTGTGTGGTGTTTTGAATGAGAACAGCCTCTATGGGCTTGTCTGTTTGAATATTTAGTTCCTAGTTAGTGGAAATGTTTGGGAAGGATTAGGATGGCCTTGTTGGAGAAGGCAGGTCACTGGGGTTGGGCTTTCGACTCTAACCCTCTGACACTGTAAGCCCCAAATAAACTCTTTCTTCTATAAGTTGTCTTGGTCATGGTGTCTTATCACAGTAATTTAAAGTAATTAAGACACCTTACAAGAAAGAAGGCAAGTCAAGGGTCTTCTTGAATAGTCAAAACTATGAGCAACAAAATAAGAGCTGGATGAACTGGACTTCATCAAAATTAAAAACCTCTTGTGCTTCAAAGGACACCACTTGTAAAGCAAAAATCAAGTCTCATAATGGAAGAAGACATTCAGAAGTATATTTGAGATTAGGAACTTATAGTTAGAGTATGTAAAGAGCTGTTTCAATTCAATGCCAAAAAGATGAATTTAAAATGGGCAACAGATCTCTAGACAGAAGATCATCCTGCTGATTTTCCAGGTAAACAAAGGTTTTAATGATTCCTCTCAGGTACTGAAGGGCAGCTTTGCTGCTTGGAGAGCTGAGGGGATGTAGGGACTGGCCCTGTGGCTGGCTTGTGCAAGCATGAGAGGCCCCCATGAGGTTCTGGACTAGACTCTGCCCACTCTATCTAGTGGATAAGGAGGCCTGAGCCCACTTCACTCAAACTGTGCATCTGTCTGGTCCCGTTTCCGTGGAAACCAGTACGACACTGTTCCTCACCTGGCAGAGTAGAGGAATCAGGTGGATGGGCCCCTTCCTCCCCCTTTCTACACACGCACACACACACACACACACTGCTGTTTCTCTCCATGGTCCTCACTATTGAGGTAATTCTCAGGTGCCCCTGACAGGACCCTTTAATCTCACACTGTCAGTCTGTTCTCAAGGATCTGAATGCCTTGAGGACTCACCACATCACCACAACCTAGGTCCCAGCAAAGACCTGGTGCACAGCAGATCCTTGGGACCCAAGCAGGACACACAGAGGATGACATGGGCCAGGAATGGTATGTAGTAAATGCACCACATGCACCAGGATCTATGTAGGCCTGTGCTGGGACCTGAGGCATGTATAAAGCCTTTCCTGGGTCCCTCTCCATGCTGAAGGGCATGCTGTGCTGCTTGCAGAGCTGAGGGGCTGTGAGATTGGCCCTGTGGTTGGCTGGAGTAATCAGGAGAGGCCCCTGTGAGGTTTTTGGCCTTGACCTTCCGTGATACTCACCTTCATCACTGGTGTGAGGCTCCGTGCCATTGTCATGGTCAACTTCATCAATGGTCCCCGGCTCACTGTGTGGGCTGTCACTGTAAGCAAACACAGGAAAAGGACCTGTTGGGGGGGGTGTCTTTCTTGAATACTCCCTTAGTGACCCCTAGCTATGGAACTGACTAGATTGTCATAGGCTTGAGTATGTGGCCCACATGTATTGAAAATGTCATCCCTAATGTCACCATGTTTGGAGGTATAACCTAAGCAGAGGCAATAAGGCCACAGGGGCTGTGTTAACAGAAACTGATTGGTGTCAATCAAGAAGTACGTTAGTTATCATGAGAGTTAACTGACTGACCCCTATGGGCTAGCTTGCTTGTTCTCATACTTTCTTCCCTTCAGCCTTCCACTATAGGACAATGTAGCATGAGGCCCTCCACACACATGCTATATCTCCTAGTTTTCAGACCTTGAACCACATAGATTTCACTTAATTATAGATGACTCAGACTCAAGTATTCTAGGACAGGAGCAGAATTGGGTCGAAATAGTTACATGTTCAGTGCGATTCAGATGGCAGTGGTAGACTTCAAGCTTCTGTAAGTCAGGGCTTTCCTTAGTGTGTATGAAGGTGTGTGTGTATGTGCGTATGTGTGTGTGCACGTGTGCATGTGTGTGTGGCTGTTGTTCTCATCAGCAGATTGGCAGGTGAATATGCTGATGACTTCCCTGACACCACTACATTAAGTAGGAAGGACACAATGACAAACCAAGTAGACCAGGTCCCTCACTTCACTGCTCACATTCTAGGGAGAGAAAACGCTAAGACTAGTGTACAAAACAGTTGCAAGATGAAATAATGATTTCTAAGAAAGAGACAGGCTGAGAGGAGGGCAGCAGAGGGACCATCATGCAGTGACTGGGGTGGCTGTTTAGAAGAGGTGACATGAATGATACCATTAGAAAAGAACAGAGAGCTCTGGGCAGCTCAGCTGGTAGTGTCTGACATGTACAACAGCCTGGCTTTCATCTGTAGCACGATATGAACCTGGCCTGGTAGGGCACACCTGTAATTCTAGCTCTCAGTAGGTAAAGGCTGGAGGAGCAGAAGTTTAAGTGAGCTTCTGCCACATAATGAATTTGGGGCCAGTCTGGGCTACATGAGCCTCTGTCTTCAAAAGAACAAAAAGAAATAGACTGTGTTGTGAAAAATTCCCTATTCCCATCAGGATTAGATCCAAATGAAGGACATCAGAACTGGCCTCCAGTTGACCTTTGAAGCCTGGTACCTCTCCACCCTCCTGTCACATACTCCACGTCAACAAACGGAGTCAGCCACTTTTCATTCTGCTGAGGTCTCCAGGTCCAGGACTTTCTTGGCACAGTACTCTGTGAGTTGGCACCAGTTTAAGATGCTGGCTTGGATCTTTTTTAACCTCCTTGGGAAACCTTTCCTGGTGGCCTGTGATTGGCTCAGGAACCCCTTCTGGCATAGGAGCCTCTCAACACTCCTCCCACTGGAGTTGTTCTTGCTTAGGTACCATCCCTGCCACCAGGAGATCCAGTCCCCAGAGGATTCTGGATGGTGGGGAGGATTCTGGATGGTGGAGGAGGAGACACTGCTGAGTGAATGAGTCTTGCTTACTGTACTGAGACCGCCAGCTTCCCCTCCCTTTTTGGTTTTGAAAATGCCTTCCAAATGACCATGTGATTACTAATTCTCCAGCCTTACAGGAAATGAAGAAAAGTGTGAAAGTGGTACATGTGTATTGTACAGTAACAAATGTGTAATTTGTGTGTTTAGCTTCTCTTCGTGAAGAAATTGTGCTTTCTAGATGCATAAGAGTCTTGAACAGTGTTAGGATAGAGACCTTCAAGCAGACACCACTGTGACCAGCTACCCGTGTACCCTTTGGGGAGGAATGCACAACTTTGAAGCAGTTGCCCAAATAAGCCTAGAGAATGGAGGTCATCCAAGAAGCTAGGAATACTTTAATCAAAACCCACATTCTCACTGGGCAGGGCAGATGAAGTCTATGATCCCAGAACTTACTGAGGCAGGAAGATCACAAGTTCAAGACCACCATGTGCTAAATAGTGAGACTCTGTTGCAAAACACCAAACTGAAATGCCTACACTCCCTGCAGACCTGGCAGAAAGACTGCATACGGCCGTGTTGACCTGGGCTGGGGACACTGTGACAGCAGGAACATTTGGCTGGTCTTAAGCAGCATATTTAATTTCTCTTCTCTGCATTCCTCCTCCCCCCACTGAATTTTTCCCTTTTAATTAAAATGTAACTGTACAAAAATCATAGGAATTACACATAGTTGCGAGATATCAGGTGATCATTTACTGTATGCACACATTGTGCGATGTTTAAACCAGGAGTAAACGTCCCTATTTCCTTTAAAAGATTTATTTTATTTTTAAAATTATTTTTACGCGGAGGGTGGGGACAACATGTGTATGAATGCAGGTGCCTGTGGAGGACAGAAGGCATCGGGTTGCCTGGAGCTGGAGTACAGGCGGCCGTGAGCTGCCAGACTTGGGTGCTGGGAATTGAACTCTGGCTTCTGTAAAAGCAATACATACTCTTAACTGCTGAGCCACAGTTCTAGCCCCAACATTAATCTTTTTGCTTCATTTTGGTGCTGAGGATCCAATTCAGGACCTCCCCCACAGTAAGTATATGCCCCATTTCTGGCTTATGCCCCAAGCTTCAGTATAAAAACTTTCCTTTGCTCTAGTTTCCTGAAACATCTGGCATACTGGTGCTGTCGACATAGTCACTCATCACAATTAAACACATGTCCATCTTCACTCTTTCAGGCTTAGCTTGAAGAAGGAAGCCAGACCTGGGTCTGAAAAGGTTTCTAACTATTTCTCCTTATACAGGGCAGGGCATCATAGCAGCTAAGAGAGCTCCTCAACAAATGACTATTGACCTGAGGTGGGGCATGCAAAGAAATGAAACTCTGGAAGAAAGAACTCCTGGGTAGAAGGGTCAGTTTTTGGAGGTTTGTGTGGGGACATCCCCTCCTCTGCTTCCTGAGAAAGAAAGGTTTACCTGGCTAGCCACCACATTATAGGAGCCCCTTGGACCCAGACGGAGCCTGAAATAACTCTTGGGAAGTCTCTACAGGAACAACTGAGAAAGGGAAGACTCTTTTTTTGTTGGAGCTGTCCAGAGAGTGGGTGACAAATCTGGAGCTACCCTCTGACAGCCACAAAAGGAAGCCAAAAGGTGGAGTCTGGAGGGCCAGGTCCCGCTGACAACAGCTGAGCCTCTGGATCCAGCCATACCTGAAGGTATAGCCCTAAATGTTTCAGTGAAGTAAACTACAAGCGCACATTGGCTTAGGCTATCTGGAAGTGTGTTCTTACTCCTCGTAACTTAGGTCTCTCACATGGGACTACTGTCAAACTTACAAGGAAAACTAGCTATAGTACCTGTCCCCTAGTGTAATGAGAAAACCGGAAAGCTTCTGACTGTCTTTAATGATAGGGTGATGATAACAGAGAATATTAGGAGAAAGGATGCCTTACCAGTACTCCTCCCCTCCAGCCATGCATTTTTCGTACACAGGTCCTTCTAGCTCCCGCGGGCTGGGGAAGATGGCTTCATGGTGGATGATGATGGTTTTGATTACTTCATTGACATGTGCCTGGCAGGATACAGGGTCCTGCCCATCGGGGATGTGCATGAGGGTGGGCCCAAAGCAGATGGCCAGGTTGTAGGGATCCATCATATTCTCATCACTGTACTGGGAGAGGCTAGGAGAGAACAGATCCAAATAGGTCCTCATTGTCCACCCAAAAGGCAAATCTTCCCCCAGAGTTTCTTTTTCTGGGGGTCGGGGGCAGGGGAAGGTAGGGATGTAACTCAAATGCAAAAGTTTCTATATTCTGATTTATAGCAACATCATTCATAAGAGCCTTGGGACAGCCCTCCCAAAGGAGACCAGTTGCAGAGGGCTCTCCAGGCCAGGTACTCACTGATTGAGGAAAGCGAAGAGGTATCTCATGACCACAATGACCACGCGGGGCAGGGTGATGAGGATCTGCTGGATTGGGTGCACCCTGTCAGCTGGGTTCTCCAGTTCTGTAAGGCACAGAGGGTTCAAGGTGACCATCACCCTTAGGGAGCAAGGCAGTAGATATCTCCAGGTCCCACTTCCTCCATTAGCTTTTAGGGACTAGCCAAGACGGCTCTACTCTCAGTTGGGATTCATATGAAATCCTGGCTAAAGCCAATCAGAACAAGGTAGGCTGGAGGCTGGCCTACTTAGAACCTCTTTGAGCTGGTCTTGAAGACTTGTGGGAAAACCTATAGAGAGGTGCCTGGGACATGGAGAGCAGAAAATCTGGAGCAGCTGGGGATCTGCCAGAAAAGAGAAACCTGCCGGACTGTCAGAAGAGCTACAGAAACTCCAGAGTGGCCATGTGAAGTCCAAAACGAATGGCCTAAAATCTTCTGGCAGAGGATCTGACACTCTCTGTTTTATGGACTTGGATAGTTTAAATTTCTGTCACTGACAGCCTTGGAATCCTGATGACACAGGCAGGGACAGTGGCTTAGTAAAATGTGACAGGTACTACCCATAACACAGGCCTGGCAATGCTGCAGTTGTTCAGAAAAGAATAGTGCAAACACAGGCATGCCTAGGATCTCATCGGGGATTCGTTCTCAGGTGAACCATAGAGAGTCAAATGCTGGTATGAGGCACAACAAGAGAGAATATCTATGGAGTTGGCAGCCTGGAACTACAAGAAGTGAGGTGTCAATGCTGTGTGTAGGGCCAACAAGCCAAACATTGTCAGTGACATTTTCCTCACAGAACTCCAGCTTCCAAAAGACTCCTTTCTCCTCAGTAGCCAACATGACAGCACTGCCAACACATCTGCCTGCCTCATCTCCTGGCTACTGTTCTTCCATTGAGTCTGAAGACTACCTAGAACCATGGTCCTGGATGAGGTGCTATTGCCAAAGCTGAGGTTCTTGCTTCTGGACAAGGCATTGTGTGGGGTTGTATAGTAAGTGGAAGTCTATACTGGCATCCATCACCCGAATCCCCTGACTGTGTAGGGAACATGAATTGATATTGCCTGCCTTAAATTTCAATAGGTGGTCCCACTAGCTCACCTTAAAGACCTGGCTGGAGGAAGTCTCACCTAAGCCAGCTCACAGTGAGTTTCTTAAGCCCCTTGGTAAGTCCTCTAGAAACCCCCTGTCAGTCATCCATGCCTGGTACCTACAGGCTATTAGCTACATCATAGTTCTTAAAGACAGTTTTTTATAAAGTGAGTACTTAAATCACTATTACGAGAAAAAAAGGAGAATCCTTCGTTGAGTTAGGAGGTGACATGCAAATATGTGACAGTATGGATGTGTTCTAAGACATGCTGAAGGCAGGACGATGTGAGCCCACATCTGTACCATCTCCTCTATGCAGCCATGTCTTTGGTAAGGTTTACCTCGTAAAACAGACACAGGGAGAAAGAGAGCAGTTATAGCAGCACCCAAGATAAAGGTCATGGAAAACTTAAGCATTGTTCCTAGGAGCTCCCATTCAAAGCTCCCAGACTGCAGTCAGCTGGGGGCAATGGCAACTCGGGAAATTGAAGTGGGCTATTGTTTAATAAATGCAATGGAGTGCCACCAAATTATAGGTAGGCTTTGTTTACAAATCTTCTGAGGCTGACCCTGACCATTGTGTCTGGAGAAGTTTCATGGGTGTAGGTTTTTCTATGATATAATCATAGCCCTGGTTAGAACAGAAGAAACCCTCTCACCATGTGACTCTAGTCAGGCACAGACATGGGATGCCCCTCGATGCCTGCTCATTGTCCTGCGCAGGAACTGGATTATGGGGATCTGGTCTAATGACATCAATATGCCAATGACATGGAACCCAGGCAGGATGGAGCCTTTGGGCCTGGGGTTTTGAGATATGGTTTAGAGTTTGGCATGGATATTAAAAGACAATCAGGAAGGAAGCACTGAGGAAGCCAGGGGGACAAAGAAAGAACACATGAGAGCTTAAGCATTCCTCTTCTACTGTCCCACATCCGGGACACATCCTGATGGCCAGCATCTCCTCCGCCAGTCAAGTACTCTCATGACCAGCAATGTGAAGATAATCTCCCAGTCAGTTAACTATCATCATTTCCCTTGTCTGCTGACCTCGTCCCTAAACCTTCCATGGATCCCTACCCCCCAAGGTACAAAGCTGTGGGGTCCTTCAGATCTCCTCCTCTTGATACACTTGACTGCACCATGCTCTATCTTGCTGATCCAACTGGGCCACTGTCCTTAACCCTTGTAGGCTTCCCTGTGTCCCCTCCTTTTGGCAGTCTTGCTCATGTCCCTCCCCCAGATCTATTCTATGACCCCAGCTTTCCCTTTGCTTTTCCTCTTAGCTCCTGTTGTACCTAGGGAGTGCAACATGTCCATCAGCCCACTGTGCTACCTATAGACTTGGGTCTTTAAGCTAAGAACCTTACTTTGTTCACAGTATCCCTCTCCTGTGCCTGGCAGGATAAAAAGCCAGCACTTCAACTTCTATATAAAGATCCATGAAGCAATGGGCCATCCCACCTGCAAAATACTTACTAATAGTAGATATCAAATCTTGAAACCTTTCCTTAGGAAAGAGTGGGTTTTCCAGTCCTCGGAAATACAGTTTTAAAACACCAGCAACTGAATTGATATCTCGCTCATTTTGGTCATCCACGAGGGGGTCTTCACCTGTGTGGAGACAATGTTTTAGGCTGGTGAGGAAAGAGAATCTCTCTCCAAAACTGGAAGATATTCTCTGTTTTCAGTTGAAAGAGGAAGTGACCTGGCCAGCCTGGATAGGAGGAAGAGGATGGGACAAGCATGAGAACCTGTGACCTTGAGTCTCTGCATGTTTTAAATTTCCTATTAGAAAATACTCAGAAAGGGTAAGCATCCAATTATGAATGTCCATCACCCATTGCTTAGCCCTCTCTTGAGTTCTCTATTTATTATATACACCATGGCTCAATATTTTGAGAATTTTTGACATTATAACACATTTCTCTTAAGAATCAGGGTATTCTCAGCTAACAATGATAACTTTATCTAACCCAGGAAAGAGAACGATCCTTCCAAAAATAACACCACACACAGCCCACATTCAAACTCTGCCAACTATCCCACTACGTTTGTCATGGATTTTTTTTTTTTTTTAAAAAGCACTATCCCGAGTTCCCACAGTTCATTTGCTGGCTGGCAGTTGTTCCTCTTGTTTGATTGTTTGTTTGTCTGAGACATGGTTTCCATGTATCCCTGGATGGCCTGGAACTTTGGAACAATCTTCTGCTTCCAAATGCTGAGATCAAAGGCATGTGCCAGCATGCCCAGCTCAATGGCTGCCTCTTGGGTTTTATAAGCATAAAATACACTCCAATGTTTTTTGAGTGCTGAGTTTGTGTTTGATGATGTAGGTCTCTCTGTCTTGTAGAACTGCCTCATACTGTGCCTTTCTCTCATTTTCCTCATGACTTGACTCAGGTTGAATATTTTGGACAAGGATACAGAGATCCGTGATGCCTACTACTAGTTACACAGAGCACTGAGTTAAGGTGGTAGCTTTTTTCCCCTTAAAATACCATAGAGGCATTCCATTTTTTGCTAAAAACATGAGACTTGTGAAGTAAGACCAGAATCCTGGCACTGCAAGTCTGCCCACTAGTCCCTGTGGTCAGCGTGACTCACCATATGGCATCAGTCTCCAGTGACGGTTCTTGCCTCGTTACCCTAGGAGCTCACTGATTCACTTAGGCTGGCCAGTGTCTCCAGATAGCCACTTGTCTGGGCTCCCCAGTACTGGGATTACTCAAATCTACTGCTATACCTGGCTTCTACATGAATGTTGGGCATCTGAACTCAGGCCCTCATCTGCTCAGCTCCCAAACCCAGATTTAAAGGTTCTCAGAGAGAACACTCATCTTTACCCGTTCCTTCCACACCTTACACTCCATCACTTCCTTTAGTCTGACTCATCTGCTGTGTTTCTGCTACAGCAGGTGAGTAAACGCATGTATAATCAGCACTCGGCACTCAACAAGTTGCACATCTGTGGATTCAACAAATACGATGAAAATATTTTTGAAAAGGAGATTGCCTCTCAAGGCTAGGGTGGTGGGTCAGTGAGCAGCTTGCTGCACAGCATGAGCTCCTGAATTTGATTCCCAGCAGACAGGAAGATCCCTACAGCTCATAGGCCAGTGGTCTAGCCAATCAGCAAGCTCCAGATTCAGTAAAAGACCCAGTCTCAAACACATAAGGTGAAGAACGAAGACACCCAGTGTTGATTGACTTCTGGTCTCCATGTGCATCTGCACACACATGAACACACGTACACACCACATGTACACACACCACAGTAAAGAAGAGACTCTGTCCACATGGAATCCCATGCAGACTTGTTTTCTTGGCCTCTCTTTTCCAAACAACAGTTTGACTACCATATACATGGTGTTTCCATCACGTTAAGCAGTGCGAGCCACCTACAGATGATGGCTGGATGTGCTTGCCGTGTGGGCTCTGTAAACATGCTACATTCAGAAATGCACTTGAACACTGCTGGTTTTCTAGGGTGGTTCCTGAGCCAGTCCCCTAAAGATGGGAGCAACTCTATATGTTCTTCACTGACCCTTACTTCTTACACAAAATGCCATTCACTCCTGCATAAGCTTGTTCCTTTACTCCAAATGGGAAATCTCTCCAAATGACTTCCCAGAAGTCTTCCTCTCTCTTTCTAATGGTGTAAAGGATCTTGTCACATAGGGAGGCCACACTTTACTCTCTTAACCTCTTATAGGACTACATTTAATTACTAGTTACGTTTAAATTATACTTAGTTATTTGTATGCATATGATAAGGCATACATCTGGAGATCAGAGTTCAACTTGCAGAAGTCAATTCTCTCCGTCAGATGGATTGCAGGGAATTAGGTCATTAGGCTTAGACAAATGCCTTTATCCATTGAGCCATGTATCACCAGCTCTACATTTGACTTCTTTCAGACTTTTGCCGTGATAAACACTGCCACAACAGATAGCCTACATGTGTGCAGTTGTTTTGGTGGAGGCAGGTCTCAGCTCCATTCCTGGAAGGAGGCACACTGGGCCACACAACTTTGTGTGGGTGTGGTTTCTCACCTGTAGTCAGAGCCCTCTCACTGGGACCACACAATTTTGTACTCCTGGAGAAGGCTGTCTCCGCCAGCACTGCCCATGGCATATTGCCAATCTTCTGAGGTTTTCTTTATTTGGATGGAGAAATACGGCACTTCAGAGGAGTGGCTCTCTGCAGTTTAAAGCGGGGGCTGCTAAGCTGGTCTATTACTGAGAATTTTCCCAGGGGAGGTGAAAGGAAGCAGAGAGTAATCTAACACCTTCCTAGAGGTGTTGAGGGAAGTTTGCACTAACAGCTGGAACACCTGCATGTGTCTGCCAAGCAATGAATACATCTGAGTACCCAACCTGGATCTCTTCCCTCTACCTTCAGAAGAAGCAGATGTTTAGTTTGTTATTGGCAGTCTCTTCTAGTCTCAATGTGTTTTAGTGCCAATCAGAAAAAGTCTTCTTCTGTTCTATACCAGGGCTTGCAGCTTACAGGGCATGAGCCAGAGTCCAGCTCTCACCTGCCTTCCTAGCTGGGCAAGTGTCCAGCTTGAACAACTGTATGTAGCAGCCCAGACACTGATGTTGCCTAGCTTAACCTCTCAGATGTCCCCACCAAGAAGGTGAGAATGTTTCTCCCCTAAGGAAGAAAAGACACATTTAAAATAATTGCTTGATTAACATGTTAAACTTTCTATATACCCATTTATGTATGTGTACCTATACACACACACACACACACACACACACACACACACACAAATACACACAAGAATCACCATCACCGTCACCATCACCAACATCATCTCATGCCTGTCTCCCTGAATGAAATCACCATGACATTCCTTGCCAACAGTCCAGGCCTTTGGCTTTCTGCAGAACCAGTCTATCTGGGCTCAGGACCAACAAATCAAAGCTGACGAGCATGTAGACGACAGCTTTATCCAGAAGAGGGATGAGCGCTATCATTCCAGATAAGCCTGAGAGAACACTGAATCCCACTGAGTCCCCCTTTTGGAATGACAAGACAAGAAGAGCCAACTGAAATGATGAAAGAGGAAAACAGAGATTTGTTTGTTTGTTTCTGTTTCTTTTTTCTCTTTCTTTCTTCTTCTGTGGCTGTGATGTGGGTCAGGAGATTCCCGTCTACATGAGGACCCAGAGTTCGACAAGAGCAGAGAATACTTTTCACTTACACTCAAGCAGGTGACCGGCAATGCTGGCCTCAGCTGAGGTCTGGGGAAAGTGTCAGGGGGTTGCCCATTGTCACAAGCTTCCCAACAGAGAGACAATGCAGGAAAAGGCCAGGGGAGGTCCTGCCAAGGTGCCAGTCCTCTTCAAGGACCGCACCAAGGGAGTCAAGGTCAGGTCACAGCATCTATATGTGAAGGGATGGGTGGAGCCCAGATGATAGAAACAGCAAATGTTCTAGAACGACGTTCTATTCATTTACAACACTGAAGGTCGAGGGCGCTACAGTGTCGAAGGGAGTGAGGAGCAGATCCTGGCCTGTTCTGTTGGTGATGTGAGGAGAGGTCGGGGCAGTGAGGAGCGACACTGACATCTAGGCCTTTGCACATGTTGTCCCTTAGCCTGGATGCCTTCATTTCCCTTTGCCTCCCTTGGCCCCTCTGCATCAAGCCTCAGCTTCAGTGCTTCCGCTCTGAAAGCCTTCCCTGGCTCTTCTCCTTTTTCCTTCATCCATGCAGGCTAAGGGGCTCCCCATAATAACCAGAACCAGCCATGCTGGCTCAGGCACACTATCTGCCTATGAACCTGGCCTCCCCATTGGTAGGGATGGTTCTGCTCGGATTATATTTCCAGGGCCTGGTGCATCATCTTGTACAGTGGAAGGTTTGCTGTATGTTTGAAGAAATGACTGGCAATTTCTGAAAGCACCGGTGCTGGTGTTAAATGTTCCACACCCTGGAATGTTCTCCAGAGCTGAAGCTCCCTGTGCCCTAGGAGGCCACTGGGCACCACAGCCAGCCAGATTTGTTCTCAGTACCCAAAGCTACCCCAGATTGACTGGTGTGCAAAAGATATGTACTGTACAGGGTGCAGAATGCATCCTTCACCCTGAAGCCGGAGATGCTCTATGGTAGAACTGAGGGGATGGGAGGCAGAGACTTTACTTCTCTAAGGATGATAATAAATGCAGGAACTGGATGGGTGGAAGTCTAACAGTGTTTCACTCAGAGCTCAGCTAATGGCATATATGTATATGATAAGAAAATGCATTCTAACCAGAGCTGGTAGCTGGTAATCCTGGCACTGGGGAAGCTGAAGCAGGAGGATTACAAAGAGTTCAGGGCTCTTGTAGTATGTTTGAAGCTAGCTAAGCTACTGAGAAAGGAAAGAGGGGGTGTGTTTCACTGTCCACTGGGATGGGATGTACTGCTGGGACCTGGTTCTGGGATCAGAGTCCTCAGACCTTAGCATCAGAGCCCTCCAGAGAATAAGGGAGTAAGTCAGACTGAGCTGGGATGCACTGCATGTCTTTCCAAAATGGTGTGAAACTGGAAGTGGGAATTCAGTTTGGGTTGCCTGTGCCCCAGGTCTTTCTGTCCCTGGACTGAGGATGTGGGATGGCCAGCACTGGGCTTGGTTCCAGAACCAGGGATAAAAATATCCCAATGATTGTTCTTGAATAAAAAGTCCTGGATTTGTGGTTCTACTATACAGGAAGCTAAGTGCCGTGTGGTAAAGGCAGACATTGAGAACTGAGCTTCTTATGGCACAGTTGGTTCTTCCTTTGCAGGGCCCTCCTGTCTTCATGGAGCTTCTGAGGCCACCACAAGCATAGTAGCTTTGCACATACATACATACATACACACACACACACACACACACACACACACACACACACATGTGTATGGAAATACACACAGTATGTGGAAAGTCAGGTATGATAGCTCATACCTGTAACCTCAGCAGTTGGGAAGCAGATGCAGGAGTATTAGGAAGAGTTTAAGGCTAGCCAAGACACTATCTGTCAATAAATAATGAAACATTGAAATCTTAAGCACTAAACTGGACAGGGCCAGGAACGTTGGGATTTTAGAATTTTGGTGCCTTGGAGGTGAGAAGAAGTATCTACTTAAAAGTCCACCCGAGTTGCACACACAACCTGAGGATGACTGGACAAGATATCAGTTGTGTAGCTGCAGCCTGGCTGTGTGTGTGTCACATGAACGTGGAACTTTCCATTTGTATGTTACATCGTTGCTCAGATGTTTGGGTTTAGGAGCTGGGATTAGGAACATTTAGCTTGTAGTAAAAGATACAGGGAGAAGAGTGGGAGACTAAAATCTCTAAAATCTAAAAAAATCTCTAAATCTTCTAAAATCTCTAAAGACCTGCCAAGAAGATCTTGAGGTTTGCAAATTTCTGTGGTATAAACACTCCCAATATGGCTATTTCTAGCTACCATCAGGATGTCATGGAACGCAAAGTTAATAAGAGTGTGAGCAGATATCTCCTGAAAGCTGCTGCAGACCCGGGGCCTCTACGCACATAGGCTTTGAGACCTATGTTAATGTTGGTTTCTCTTGCCCACAAGCTTGAGATAGTCAGTCTGCACTCACCTCTCTCAAAGGAATTCTTGATGTCATTAACTTCAACCTGAGATCCTGGAACTCTGAAGATCCCCTGCTGCTGGAGTCCTAAGAGAGAAATAACGATACAAGCCAACAGTAAACATAAATAACATGAGACATTGAGTTCATCCAGCTACTGGAAATATTGAAGATTCTCTCTCACATTTATCTCTTTCCCCTTCTATCTTTTAGAACAGTTGTTCCTGGTGACAAACTCCCAGCTGAAACCCCACTGGCCTTGACAATGAACTGCAGCTGGTCCAATACTCAGATGTATGCAGAATCATGTGTCTTGCTTCTGGGCCTGAAGTAAACCGCTACCAACACTATTCCTTCCTGCCCATGTGAGTAACTTCTTCCCTTAAGAGATCATAAACTTCAGAATTCATCCTGGCTTAGGACTGGGGAGTCAGAGAGTCAGAGAGTTGGGGGCGTAGTCAGTGGTAGAGAGCTTTGTCTTATGGACAGTAGGCCCTGGGTTAGGTTCCCAGCACCAAAATTAAATAAATACAATAAACTGATTAGCAGGACAGAATTGCTCATACTATAATTTCAGCATTTGCAAGGCTGAAATTGAGGCAAGAGGATTTTGCAGAGTCCCAGGACAGCCTGGGCTACAGACTAAGATCCCTGCGCAAGACAGAAAAAAAAAGCTTGGCCTCACTACTAAAGGGCAGCCACAGGTTTTTTGTTGTTGTTGGTTTTTTTTTTTTAAGTTTCTGTGAGACAATAGCAAAGTGAGGCCTCTGGCCTGGTAGCAATTGGGACCTAACAGCAACATGTATAATTGCAGGAATCAGAGGGCCTGCCTCTCTCAAATGAACATTACTGAAGACACTGGGCACCTTTCCCTGCCTCACAGTTCTTTCGGATAGGACAATTATTCTTCTACAATTAATTGTTTATCCTGAAAAGTCAGGTTTAGTGGATATTTAGTGTGAATATCCTACATGCTCAATAAATGCAGTTCAACTCTTTGGTTGTTGGGAGTTCTTTTGTTTTGTTTTGTTTTGTTTTGTTTTGTTTTGTTTTGTTTTGTTTTGTTTTGTCTGCCTTTACCAGTGGCTGACATTAGCATCTTTTAGAACTTATTCATGTGTCATGCATACTCAAGGCATGCACCTGGATATTTAAGCTGTGACATCATGTGCCCAGGCTGACCTTGAACTTACTATATAGCCCAGGCCAGCCTGCATTTCTTGGTGACTCTTCTGCCTCAGTTTCCCTAATGATGAAACAGGCATATATCGCCATGAGTGTGGTCTTGTTGATTTCTACCACCCCAGTGTCTTCTCCTGTTCTTCTGGATTATTATCCTTCGTCAATGGGGAATATTGCCTCTCCTCTCACACCCGACAGTCCCCATTCTCTCTACCCAAGCTGCCTGGCTGCCTTCCTCAGGGGTCTTCTCTCACTTTAGTCAAGCAGCCTGCCTCCAAATGTCACCATCTATCTTCCTTTGAGTTAGTTTCATAGCAGTGTCACCATGAAAAAACTATTTTTATAGTCTACTATCCATGAGCTACTATATTTAGTGACTCAACTGAAGGGAGCTTGAAAATATTCAGGATAAAAGTTGCCATCTGTATTAAACATGTATAGATTATTTTTTATTAGTCACCAAACAATATGATTATTTGCCTAGCATTTACATAGGGCCTGGTGCTATCTGCCTCCAGGTGGATTGATACTTATGGGAAGATTACATGGGTTATGTGTAAAAGCCAGAGCATTTTACACAAGGGACTTTCCAGTCTGCAGATCTGGGAGTCTGCAGTGATCCTATATGTAATCTCTAGAGGTGCTAAGGGTTGACTTAAAGTTCCTTTTCTGTAGTTGATTTCCTTGTTCTTCTGAGAACGTAAACCCTGTAGGGCTGCCATGGTGCTTGCCTTCATCACTCCTGAGTTTCCCACAGCCAAAATGGAGGTGAACGAGTAAGTTAAACACAAGTTGACCCATGGTTAACTGATTTCTAACATCATTTCCTTCAACCCGATTGACCTCAAGTGAGGACAAAACTGGAATAGTACTTCTGTCTATGCCATATCTGCTCCCAGTGACCTGAGTCCCTAGGGCCCTCACACAATCTTCCTTCCCTCACCCTCCACACACACACAAACACACAGAAACACACACACACACACACAGAGAGGGGGGAGGGAGGGAGGGAGGGAGGGAGGGAGGGAGGGAGGGAAAGAGAGAGAGAAAGAGAGAGAGAGAGAGAGAGAGAGAGAGAGAGAGAGAGAGTCCGAAGACAGTGTTTGAAGTATGAGCCATTTCCTGGAGCATTTTCACTGCCCCAGAAGCAGAAAGCAGAGTATGAACTTCCAAGAGTCTTCCAAGATGGCTGAGAACATCATTTCCTTGCAGAACAGCCCAGCACCTGCTCCACAATAAAGTGAACCCACTGAACTGAGATGGTGCTTACCATATAAATTGATGAATCGAATACAGCTCTCAACTACAAGTGGTATAGCTTGTCCTGAATCCTTAAGGAAGAAAAACATGTGAGTTTTATCAGGCGTGGCACCCAACCATCGGCAAAAGACATTGCAAACATGATGATCAAGTCAAGCCAAAAGATTAGTACAACGTGATTAGTAGGAAAACAAGCAAGGAATTGCTAACTCTAGTCTCCAAGGATAGTCACCATACAGCCTTCAGTTAAGTGCAGAAGAAGGCATAGCTAGGATACATTCAAAGAAATGCTCTCTCTTCTTACCCAGCTGGCAAGGAACTGGGATCAGCTTGACAGGCACACTGGGGGTAGGAGAGACGGAAGCCAGTGTGTGGAGGCAGTTGGAGTCTGACCTTGTAGGATGGCCTGCCTCCTCCCAACTTCACTTTGCCCAACTCAGCATCTATTCTCAGGGCTTGGGGACCAAGAGTCAGAATCGATGCCTTTCCCTATTACGGTGGTATCTAGTGTCAGAACTGAGAACACACTTTGAGTGAAGCAGGGCTTGCTCTTACAAGTCCTGTGGGGTTCTGAAGTGAAGGTGAATCTTATGATGTCACCACTTAAATATCCAGGTACATATTTTGCTTATCAATAAGCATAGTACATGGAGACATTCTAGAAGATGCCAAATCAAAAGGGATAAATTGGATGCAATTTAAATAGCTGTACGTAGGATACAAAGGGTATTTAATTACACCTTTCTAGATTAGTCTATAGTCCCTAGTGGTTGGGCAAGGGTTAATTTTCTTTTAGGGTTCTAAATTAGGTAACCTTCTTGTTACTACAGGTCACATCATGAGTAGCCTCTCTAGAAGGCTAGTAAGTTGCTGGGCTCTTGGTTCTGTCACACCCCCCACCTGCTGATGCTGCATCTGGGGAAACGATATGAGATGGGCCCATCAAACATCTAGGGCTCTTCTCTAGATGGCATTGGATCTACTAGTTGCATGGGGCTTGTGGGCCTATCTAGTAAATACCTGGTTCCTGGTTCGAGCATTTCTTCTTCCTCTGATAACAACAACAAAAAAAGAGAAACAGGCAGCAAAGCAGAAGAAAAAGAAAAGATTATGCAGGAGTAAGATCAGTTAGAGTATGCAGATCCTTCAGAGTCCGTGAATGCCAAAATGCAATGGCAGCCAGCAACGGTCCTGGGGCTCTTGCCCACCAGCCTGCCCAGGGGGAGGGCCCTCATCCTTCAGACCTCCTAAGAGTTCTGGAGCAGTCCCCAGCCAGCCTTTCAATAGGCTGCCTAGCCTCTTTCCCAGGTGCAGTGATGGAAGGGCCTCTTTCATTCCTTGTCAATATGTAGGAGAAGTGTGTCTACCCCATTCCTGGATCCATGTCCAGTTCCTCAACATGAGGGAGTCACCAGTGACAAGAGTCCACTGATGACCTACAAGGTTACCCCCATCTGCCCACAGAAGGAATCCGTCATGCCTATTGTAAGCTGGCTCCTAGAATTCATCTCTGGAAACCTCATTGTTGGTTAGATATTCTATTTCACAAACTCCTTGGATGGGATCCAGCAGGTCGCACCAGATTCCAGACTCCAAACACATCCAATACCTCGATAATCTTCTCTGACTGGAAGCATGGCTCTTTTCCCCTCCCAGCCCCTTACTGTTGCCCTGGTACTGAGACCCTCTGGAAGCACAGAAGCTGGGGAGGGTATTAAGAGAGAGTAGGTTGGAACACCTTTGTGACCTTGAGGGTGGACTGAAGCCCTTGTTCCCACATTGAGGGATCTTGCCTGATTTTTATGCTCATGTGTGCAGTGACTTGGGGTCTAGGTGGGAGGTAGGTGGAGAGTCTCACCCAAGCTCAGTGAAAAGGCCAAGCTGACTAAGGGACATAAACCTTCCTTGGGTACCATATGTCCAGCCCTGCCATCTCAATAGTTGGGATCAGAGTTGCTATGATGTCAGCTAAACCCACATGACTTCCAGAACTCAGCAACAGCCTGGTCCATAGGGAGTCCTGGGATGGTGTCCTAAAATTAGTCTAATTATGATCAGGCTTACACAGTGCCAGAAGGTTCTAGAAACATACATGTATCGGCTCATTCCATGCTAACCCTAAACTCACAGAGTAGATTTATTCTTATTTCATAGAAGTAAGATGGAGATGCCCCACCAATCCCATGGGTGGACCTTCTGGGCTTTACCATGGGCTTAAATATATAAATGGAGTCTCCTTCAGTCTGACAGGAGAGAAACACAACATTTTTGGTTTTTCTAAGGGGTTGGCTCAGGAAAACTCGAGGAAGTCCATAAGTTCAACTACAAAAAAACTTCTCTATAATTAACTTGGAGCTTCTCTCATCGTAATCACAGCAAGGCAGTGGGATTATTCAACCATGAATCTTTTCAAAGGCCTGGACTGTCAAAGCTGAGGACTCAGTCTGCTGTGTGTTCAGACCATATAAGAAGCAGAATAAAAACTGAAATTCCTCTCTTGGCAGTTGAAAGAGTGACTACAGATGCCGCCTCTCTGGACTCAAGATCCTTCAGAGTAAACCTGTGCCACATGGGGCTTTGGTGAGTCTGCTGATAGTAGGTACACAGCTGAAGTTGTTAAACTTTACTGATTGAAGGTAGCCTAAGTGTATAGAGACAGGCTATTGTGTTCCACAAACCCCTCATTCTCTTCCCCGACCAAATGACTATTATTCTTCCAAGAACTCTAACATTCACTCCAACAGAGCTGGGTGGTTCCTCTTTGGACATTTTTCTCAGAGGCAGTTGACAAGTGCCACTATACCACACTTCCTCTTACCACTTCATACCTCCAGTGGTGTCACAAAGCTAAGTTTCCACTGGAGCTTCTGTGTGTGTCTGGGGATGGTAGTGGGAAGGTGTTCATGAGTGAGTGTGTGTGTGTGTGCCCGCGCGCGCGTGCGTGTGCACGCGCATGGACGCGCGCACATGCATGCATACTTGTAGAGGCCAAAGGTCAACCTTACATGACATCCTTCAGGCACCAGCCACCTTGATTTTGAGCTCTCCAATTAAGCTAGGCTGGATGACCAGGGAGCCACCGGCTTCGGATTCCCTAATGCCAGGATTCCAAGTGTGTGCAACCATCTGTAGCTTTTTAATATTGGTTGTAGGGACTGAATTCATGTCCTTACGCTTGCCTTATAATTACTATGTCATCACCTCAGCTCCATGGTGATTCTAATTCTGATAGGACAGGGAATCTATTCTAAGAGGAAGTTTGACCCCACCAATGAGGAAGCAGAGGTGAGAGAGAAGAAAGTACAAAAGGAGACAGAGGGGTGGTGAAGAAGCAGAGCACTCTTTAGACACACCCCCACCTGCCATGACCCATTGGGTGGCTCCCTGTGGGTCACACAGTTCCTCGAGGATTCTCATTTGAAACAAGCTAAGGTATTTCCCACTATCCTTGTCCAGAGGAAAATCCTTCTTTCTCTAGCTCTTCTGTTCGGTTCTGTTCTGTTCTGTTCTGTTCTGTTCGGTTCTGTTCTGTTCTGTTCTGTTCTGTTCTGTTCTGTTCTGTTCTGTTCTGTTCTGTTCTGTTCTGTTCTGTTCTGTTCTGTTCTGTTCTGTTCTGTTCTGTTCTGTTCTGTTCTGTTTCTGTTCTGAGGACTCAGTCTACAGGCAGAGGTAGTTCTTTGACTTAAGATGATGGTCCTGCCTACTCCATCCATCCCTGAGGCTGAGCCTTTCTCTGTCCTCTAGGTCTGAGCTGTAACCTGCCAGAGGAGGGAGGACAGAGGCCAGAAAACTCGTGCGGGGCCACCCCTGTAACTCCAAAATCACTAGTGATGCCCTTGAGACTCTGCCCTTCCCCTGACTAACACAGTTCTCTTTTCTGCAGAAACTGTCCTCACTGGCTGCCGGTGGGTGTAGTGACAATTTTGGAGTTTTGGTTTCTTTAAAAACCCAGAAATATTATAAGAATGTGTTTTTGTTTTAATCCCAGGTGTGGGGACATGGGGAAGCTTTGGACTGTCCACAGCGCCTGACTATGACTAGGCTCCTGTTACTAGCAGAAGTGTGGTTTTTGTCAGCTGTGGATAGTTTCTGTGATTGTATGAGGTTTGGAATCTTTACAGAGGGTACATACATGCTAGAACCCCAATAGACAGGGCTGGTGGTTAGTGCTTGTTCAAGGGGTTGGTAGCGATTTGTTAGTAGTTGTGGTCAAAGAAGAAACAAAAGGAAAGAAATTAGGTTCATGGGCTTTCCTAATGTCTCTCCTCTCCCCATCCTTATTTCTCTTCTATCTAGTGTTAGGGAGGATAAAGGGTCAGAAAAAGAAGAACCCACAAAGTAGCAAAGACCAGCTTCAGGTAGGCTTTTAGAAAACTGGCTAAAACTTCCCCTCTTTCCCCAAGGACACATCTCAACACCATCTCTGCCTTGAGCAGTTTGATCCTGGATGGCCTGATCTTATAGAAAGAAAACAGGGAAAGTGAACTCACTTAGCTGAGACATTTTTAACTTACCTAAGCTCCGGATCAAGAGTTAACCTGGCATTTACAAGGGCTACCTGAACTCTACTCCCATCTTTCAAACCAACCACCAAATGAAGTAGACAAATGAAGTGGAAGGACCTTTTCTTATGAAAATTGAATGGAAAATTGAATTCCTGTGCTGGTAGCTACTTAGCTAACAAACTGTAGGTGCCTTGCCTGGAAATCCACGGGGGCTAGCTCTGTGCTGTTTTCGATTAGTCCTAGTTCAGGAAGAAGGGGTGATGCTGAATAATGGAGTTTCCTCAACTGCCCTTCAGGTGTCAGGACTGCAGCTCCTGGAGCAGTGAGGCCAGCTGGCTGAGACCACTGTGCTGAGATTCCATCTCTTTTGTGCATGACTGATTAAACTCCTCCCCATAGAGAGATGACTGCCCACTTAGGGTCCACTAGTCAGAAGCAGAATGCTCTGATGAAATGCCTCACAGAAGCTAAGAATGGACTACAGTGAGAAGTTGCATGGGGCCTGGCTAAGGGGTTGGCAGGGCTGTTAGCTGGAAGGGACGGGAAAGACAGGCTGCCATTACTTTGGACTCATTCGCGGACTCCACGGCTCCCCAGCAAGTACCTTAATGAACGCTTCCATACTGCCGTTAAAGAGTTTATGGCTATACACTGAAAGAGGCCTAGGTCTCCTCATTTTCTGTGGTTTAGGGGGAAGACAGGGGGGCCTAGGGGAAAACGGAACAAAAGAAATCAAGAAGGCAACCAACATAAACATACCACTGGGAGAGATGCTCCTCAAACCCACAACTGGAAGAGAACACAAAATGTAGTGGGGAGCCCCTGGCCCACAACACATTCGCTTCCCATGTTCCATCTGAAGGCCTCTGGATGTTTTAGGTCTTAGTTTACCCACAATGCCAAGCAGGAGCAACTCTCACAAAACACAAATGCATTCTACATTAGGAGGGATGGGGTGTATCCAGGAAGCCCCTGCAATGCCAACCAGAGGCAGGCATCCTGCAGACCAGATGGAGGGGAGGAGGGGAGAAAGATGTCATCTGTAGCCCAGGAAAGCAAGAGACTTTCAAACATAATCAAGAGGGTTAATTTTCATAATTTTGGCTTAAATCTATCACCGGGGCCCAACTCCCAATGTACTGAAGGTACTATCTTCCTGATGCCTCTTGGCATTTCAAAGGCATATGACTCATCTTTGTTGCATGGATCCAAGAGTCAGACAGAGAGATGCCAGGATGCAAGCTGCACCTTCTTTAGGATCTGTAGGTGGCCTGGAATGTTTTTATCCCACTCATCAGTCAAGGACATTTTGGATCAGAACACTGTCAAACCCATTACCACACTTAACTCAGTGTCTTCCTATGACATGAGGCTCTATTCTACAGAAACTAAGACTCAGAGAAAAAGAACAATGAGTCAGACCCAACGCTACCCACTTCCCCTCCAAGTCCAGTTTGTTTGTTTGTTTGTTTGTTTGTTTGTTTGCCTTTAAGTTTCAAGTCATGGGCATGGTGCCAGGACATCTTGCCATTCCTAGTTGCAGACTCGTCTGCCCCATCAGTCCATGAGAGGAGTCAGGTTGAAAGTGTCTTGCTTTGCTTTTGGATCTCCTTTCCCTGTGTTCTGCTGTTACCCACAGGGAGGGAAATCCTTATACCACAGTCCACCCGGAATAATGAAATGGGCACAGACACCAGACCCGTGTCCAAAACTGCTTGCCATGCATAGAGGCCTGGATTGGCTTATTTGCTCATTTCGTTATACAGACTGGCCCAACTCAATGCTGGGAGCCTTCAGGGAAAGAGATTTTAGAAAGTTAGGAGGAAGCATCCTTCCCAAATGAGGCAGCTGATTTTCGAATGGTTTGGTTCAAACTATGGGAACAATGAGTGTATATTCAGCCAGGCAGCTAATGGGCATATATGAAAAGCAAAGTCGAGCCCCTTCCCCAAGTCTTGATTGATTTCTGTGTATGGGCAAGAATCTTCTGTTTGTTTCTGAGACAGGATCTCATATAGTCCAGGGTGGCCTCAAACTTGCTATGTAGCTGAGCATGACCTCATGCTCCTGATCCTCCTGACTCCATCCCCACAGTGCTGGGATTATAGGCATGCACCTCCACACTGGGTTTAACGTGGTGTTAGCAACTGAACTCATGGCCTCGTGCATGCTAAGCAAGCATTCTACCAACTAAGGTACATCCTCAGCCCACACAGGCAAGAATCATATAGACTATGAAACCAATCAGAAGGAGGCTTGCCCTGCCTCTCTCCTTTGGGCTTACTGTGCTCATGTCCTTCAGCAGTTCAGCCATACAAGACACTCTAGCCAAGTCCCCTGAATGTTTTTGAGTGCTGAGCAAAGGCTGCTAACTCCAGGACATGCATGGGCAAACGGGCAAAGACACGGTTGAGTCCAAACAGCATGCCATCCAATCAAGGGTACCAAAAGAACAGCACAACCGAAATTCGGAAGAGAAACAACAGGCAAGACTATCTCCAGCCCATCTTGGATCTATGTAAATTTGGTTAGCTAAGTCCATGTCATTTCCTTTTTTTACAAAAAAAAAAAAAAATACTACATCTTTTTTGAGAATGTGTGAAAACAGGGAGGGGGCATCTCATATAGTGGCTCTTTGTTTTTGAATGCTCAAATGTAAAAGCCAAAAAATAAAAAAATAAAAATAAAAAAGACACAAAGCCGCAGGATCCAAATTTAGGGATTAAGAGGATGGCAATGCCATCATTTGTGTTTTCCTAGTACTTTGGTCTCTGGGGTCACTTCGCCTACATTGCATGATTAACCTCCTCACAAGCCTGGGAGGCAAAGGAACCCACTAAGAAATTTGCCAGCGGCCACACAGATGGGATCTTTCAAGAGCCGAGAGTTGAGTGCAGTTCTTCCTACTCGAAGCTCCAGCACAGGTATGGAGGGAGGGATTTTGCTGTCTATCCAGCTCTCATGGCCAGCAAGAGTGGGGATCTTGGCACAGGTATGGAAAAGGCAGAATCAAAAGCTCTATGGCATCCAGTTGGAGGGTTTCTATAAAAGAACTCATAAGGGTTTGGGAGTTTTGTTTTATAATTTTTTACAAAGTAGAATAAAAGAAAATAAATGTAGAATATGCTTCCCCATTTTTCCTGCCAACCAGAGTGTAAAAGAATATGGAGTCCTCTTTCCCCGCCCAGTGGTGCACTGGGTAGTGCCTGGAATCTCTGACAAGGAAACGTAGCTATCCCAACTTTGAATGACACCAAATCTGTATCAACTTACTGGAATGCTGGGTGGGGCACAAAGTGGGGAGCAGGGGGACAGCTCAGCCAAGGAAAGTGGGGCAGCCTAAGCCTTCCATCTCTTCTGCTGCTCAGTTGCAGAGCAAAAACAAAAAACAGAAAAAAAAAAAGGAAAGAGAGAGAGAGAAGGGAAAACAAGAGAAAGCCACAGAGGGGAGAGAAGGAAACCAGAGACAATGGCCCCTCTCTGCCTTTCAGTTGGGATGAAAATTAGCATATGCTGGCAACACAGGCATGGCCTCAGAATTAGTCTGTGACAAAAAGCAAGAGATTAAGAATTTCCCCAAACAGCCCAACAGACATGGGTGTCTGTATCCAAACTGGTGGCAACTCTGCTGCCCCAGGGCTTGGAAGCTGACTGAAGTTGGATATGTACTGAGCTTCATCTGGTCGTGACATCTCCCTTCTCACAGGACAAGAGCCTCTTGTCAACCTGCTTAAGGAGGCTGACCTCTCTCCACTCATAATGATTAAAATCTGCTGTTTGCATCTCACTTTGGCATTTTTTTTTTTAGCAATTCTTCAAAGTATATTAGCACATCTGGTCTGCCTATAGAAACTCCAGAACAGTTTTGAGAACAGCGGGGCTATGGCGAATTGAGGCCGTTCATAAATCTGGCTTTAAGTGTGAGAAAGGGGCCAACTAGACAAGAACAAGAGCAATTTGGCTGAGGGAACCTGCTCTGATGGTGGTTCCAGTTAACTCTGACTGTGAGCATCTACAGTTGACACAACCAAGGTATAGAGAAAGATCACCCGGGGACTCTGGGACTCATTTTAAAACCACTTTCAGGTTAACAATGACATCCACAAGCTCAATAATGAGCCAGAAAATATCTGGCTAGGTCTGAAATTTGGGACAGGAGGTCTAAGTGGGAGGTCTAGTCATCGGAACTTCTATTTCCCAAGCTCTAGGCCAAAGCCAGTGTGGAAGACAGTATTTCAGAGGGATATATATATATATATATATTGAGATAAGGTTTTTTCTGTGTGGCTCTGGCTTTCCTGGAACACAATAGATCAGGCTGGCCTTGAATTCAGATATCTGCCTGCCTTTGCCTCCCGAGTGCTGGGATTAAAGCCATACACCACCACCAGGTTTATACTATTAAAACAAATCCATCTATCTATCTATCTATCTATCTATCTATCTATCTATCTATCTATTTCCTGGGCTTTCTTGGAGTTGGAGGGAGCCTGAGACCTGGCCATGGGATACATTATGGCTCTTCTCCACTCCATAGTCTGCTGGAGCAGTATCCTGCCTGTGTTTTACAGATTAGGAGGCAGGGGGCCATGGCCCAATTCATCCCGCTTTGGTATAACACAGGGCTTTAGTATTACAGTACTAGTCTCTTACCAGAAAAATAAAAGAGTAACAAATTTGGGTTCTTCAAAAGTGACCTGAACAACTGCTGTTCCACACACGGGAGGGTCCTTGCCTACGAATCATCTCATCGTTCTCAAACTTCGTGCGCCCAGATGAACAGGTGGATTCCTGGAAAGCCCTAAATCTCCAGGTCCAACATACTTAAACTCCACAGCTCCCTAAGCCTTTGCCACGCCCACTTGCTTCCCCAGGAGCAAGGAAGAATTCGAGGGTCATCTTTGCTCTTGCCAAGAAGGATAGCTTTTCAGGGTTCTGAGCCACTGGAAAGGACTGGTTTGGAAGGAAAGTGTCATTGGGTCACTGAGTCCCCTGCCCTGTCTCAAAATGAGGTAAAAAGTAGCTGCCAACTGCTACACATGATAGAGGGCAGAGCTCTGGGTCAACTGCTAGATTCCTGTTGAAAATCCAGACACCAGGGCAGTGCTGGCTGCTTAGGCATCTGACGCCTATGAAAGGCTGAAGGCTGCTGAGTGGAAGTGTTCACTGGCTCTGGTGTGCTCAGGGGAAGCACAAAGAGAGATGTGGAAGGAGCCAGAGGAAGCATGGGCTGCCTATATTACTGGCCTAGCCAGTGCATCCACATTCCTACTAAACTTCAAGTCAAAGTATGATGGGCAGTGGAGGGGGTTGGGGGGGAGGTAATCTGGGCACGCGTCCATGTGTAAGCAGCATGCACGTGGCCATCTGTGCACAGTCTCAGCCAACCCCAAAGCCTTAGCAACTGAGGACCCAGCCTGGACCAGAGCACCTATAGGACAGTTTGGGCAGTGGCCTTGTAACATCCAAGAAAACAGCTGCTCTGCAGCCTGTGGCTTCTGCTGACACCTTTAGCCACCCTGGAATCAACTATCCTCTACTGCCCCTCAGCAGCTACAAAAGCTCCCTCCCTCTGGCCAGCCTGCAGGAGCGTGGCTTTGCCAGTCTAAAGCGACAACAAGCAATGCAGTCTCAGGAGCCACTGTACCCGCTCCCATCACCCGGATGACCCCAAAGGTGAAGACTATCCAGTGTCCCTGGCTCCCAGTAGGCTATCTTTACCCTACACCTCCACCCACTCTCCAGCCTCATCCTCTCAGACTTCAGGTAGCCAGTATAAAGGACACAGATTTCCAGCTCTTACCTGGTTGTACCGCACTCTGCTCTCTCCCCTGGGGAAAGAAAACAAAATTGCATGTTGATATTTAATTGGCTTTGGTTGATGTTTTAAGCTGAAAACTTTCTTTTCCTTAAAACAACCACAACAGAAAGATACCATATGCCCAAATACAGTCATCCTTTAATCCTGCCCCTGCACTAGGCAACTGCTACTCTCCCTGTCTATGCAGGTTTGATTGCCATTTCCTAGAAAGAATCACTCTCCTTGTGGTTTCTCTCCTGAATCTGTCTTCTCTAGCTTACCGTAATTTGTCTGAGGTTCATCCCTACAGCATGGTTCAATAGTTCATTTATTTTTATGGTTGAGTAATATTCCACTGTGTGGACAGACCACAGTTTTCTTACCCACTTGTCAACAACTACCTGTTGTGTGTAACAGTTTCCTCTTAGTTTGAAACATTCCACCCCACAAGGAAGTTCCTTAAGCAGGAAGGCTAAATGCTCAAAATAGCTTCAGGGAGACCCTGAAACTGAACAAATTCACTAGGGCCCTACTTGCCAGAGTAAACAAGAGTTGAGTCCCTCTTAGATTGGAAGCCAAGCTGCAAAGAAGACATGAGACTGGACCAGCCTGGAAGAAGCAGAAACCAGCAGAGCTGAGTGGGAGAGGTTTAGATCAACAGAATCACTTGGAAAAGACACTCCAACACGTTGAGCTGGCTCAAGGTTGTGCAGTATACTCTAGGTTCCCAGCTTTGTGAACTGTCACTGGAGCTGGCATAGGTCCTGGTGAGGCAGCTGTCTTTGAGCCATTTCTGCTCCTGTAAGTAACCCCTCACCCATATTCCTGTAGGTAACCCCAATAAAATTCACTTGTTCACCAGGTTGGACTTTGGTCCCATCTGTACTTTGTTCTGCCATGGTGTTCCTATATAGGGTGAGTTACATAATACAGCCCTCCAAGGATCTCATACTTTTTGTTCCCCAAAATACTCTTCCCATGTCCTCAAATTATTCCTGCCTAAGTCTTCAACATTTCTGTAAGTGAACCATCACCTAGACACTTCAGTTGGAAGTCAGAGAAAGGCCCTTCAAAGCTCTCTTTCCTTCTTAACCTCAATGGCCCATTTCCCTCTATTTCAACACCGCCATCTTGGCCCAGGTTCCTACCATCTCTTGCTTTTTAAGTGCAGCTCCTATTTCACTATGATATTCACAATTCAGCAGTAAAAGAAATCGTTTTAGCCAGAGCATGTCACATCTTCCTCTTGCTTTCTAGAGTCCCGTGTCACATATAGAGTAGAATACAAGCCTCGTTCTCTGTATTCATAAGCTCTTCAAGGTTCCAAGGGACCCTTCAAACTACTGTTACATGTACAAAGACCTTCCTTCCTCTGGCCATGATGCTTCTGTCACAGATTTCTCTGCTAGGTCTCCATGTTGGCCTTTGTTTGCTGAGCTTGTCTTGTCCATGACACTTGCAACGCTGCCTCTTGCTAGCCTTTTGCATCCCGGCTGAAAAGGAGGATGCAGAGTAGTATCCTCCACCCAGAGTAGACAAGGTTCTCCTTAGAGCTCCTCTGTTTCCCTTCTTTCTATATACGCTTATCACCAGCACTGTCTTAGACTACAATTTCACTTGTTTACTGCCACCTATTGTCATTATTGTCACATCTGTTCACCTAGAGAGGTGGGAAAGAAGAGGGTCTCATGTAGCCCAGGCTAGCCTCAATCTCACTATATAGCTGCAACTGGCCTGGGATTCCTGCTCCTCCTTTGCTCACTTTCCAGGGGCTAAGATTACAGGTGTGTACCACAATGTCTGTCCTTAAACCCCTATAAGACTGGGAGATACCCGAGTTGGTAAAAGTGCTTGTTGTAAAAACATGAGGACCTGAGACCAGACTCTCAGCACTCACTTAGAAGCTAGGTGTGATAGCATGTATCTAGAACCCTGGCACTGGGGGATGCTTCCTGGAGATTCATGAGTCAGCCTAATAAACGGCAAGCTCCAGGTTCAATGAGAGATTCTGGTTCAAAACAGAAAACAGGGAACAAGTCACACACCCTACACTGATTTCTGGCCCTGTTTCCCAATCCTTCAAGGAGAATGAAATTCCCCATCTGAGCTCCTTTAGGTCAGGGCTGCCTACACTGCTGCAAGCCAAGTGGCAAACCAGCAAAGAAGAACAGGCAAGGTGAATTCAGTGCTTGATGGGTTAAATTTTATCCTATTTAACCCAACTTACAAAATCTTGTCATTTCAATATGTAGATATGTATCAACACCAAGCAAAATACTTTCTAATCTGTCTCCCGGGAGCTAGCACTTCAGGTTCTGGTGTTCATTCTGCTCGTCTCAATGAATATGACCATGTGTCAATCTGTATTTCCAGTGTTCAGCAGCCAGTGTGGCCCACGGCCTTCACCTTGGAGAGATAGCTCTAGACCAGAATCTAGCTCAATGTTCGTATGAGGATTTGTTTTGTGTTGTTGGTTTGTGTTGCTTGTTTTGTTGTTGTTGGGGGAGTGTCTCACATAGCTCAGAATCAAACTCATTATGCAATAGAAGATGACTTTGAACATTGAATCCCCCTGCCTCCACCTGCCATTGGCTAGGTTTTTATGTCACTCTGGGAATAGATCCCAGGGCATTATGAGTGGTAGGCAACTACTCTACCACTTGAGCTAAATCCCCAGTCCCTAAAGTTTTGTTTCCTTGTTTGTTTTTAAGAAAGAACATAAGCATTTTTCCCCTAAGGAACACAAGACTGTATGGGGTGTAGCCCTGGCAGAGTCTGTGCTTTTGGATACATGAGAGACAGCTGTGCGTAGCAAGAAGGTAGGAAGCAAAGGTTTAGGTCATGGCCTTGGATTCGGACACACAGTCAAGGCAGACCTTCCTCTGGGACCCTTCAGCTTTCTACCTGCGTCCTGTTCTCTAGAAACCCACTGCCAGCTGCTTCAGGGATGTGACCTGTCACTTCTAACAAATGTCAGCCAAGTTTCTTTTTAAAGTATTGTCTTTACAATCAGAGACCTATTGGGGTTTTAAAAACATATTATAAGATATAGTTGGTACCTGAGTCCTGGGGACTGTTTAGTTTTACGATAGGCTGTTAGGCTTCGGCCTGACTAAGCTATGTTCCATCTCTGTTACAGACAATTAACAACTAAGATCTGCCCCTATTGTCAATGGAAGCACCCTGGGCTTTTCTGTAGGTGACTTGCTAAAAAACATACCATGGAGCTTCTAGGTGCCTCTTAGCTGTCCTCCATTCTGAAGCATCATTTTCTCAGAGCTATCCTTACCAACTAGCTCAAAACTCAGAAAGGTGACTTCAGAGGTCACATCTCATTGGGAAGAAGCAAAAGAAACTTATTCTAAATACTACCATTTCATTTTTAGACTCTATTTAATCGTAGGGAGAAAGTAAAGTCAAGGTCCCAGATCCAAGGGGACTTCCCAATAGCTGAGCAGCCTCTATCATAAGAAAGCAGTTGTCTGAGTCCAGACATGTCAGGGACAACTTGTCAGGGAACATCTGTCTGAGTCCAGACATCTCAAGGACAACTTCTCCATCTTGCTACCAGGATCAAACTAAGCTTATGTTTCCAGACCTAGGAACCAACTCCTGATGGATGGACACTCCCTTGCTCAACACCTTATGTCAAAATCTGATTAGACGATACTACGCCCTACTCCTCTTTGCTTCATGGTTTCATACTTTAAATATGCTGTCGAATGTTTCTTCAGGGTCGTAGCTCAGTTCCTGAGTCTGTTCTGTTGCCCTGATCAATTAGTAGCAGCTTGATTACAATAAATTTTTTGTCATCTGCATTGACCTGGTGCCTCAGTTGTGTTGTAATTAAGTGGACCCCACAACAATCTCAGTGTGAGGCACAGTTGATAAAACCTGGAAGACCAAATGGACCAGGAGCCATGCCAGCCGAACATTATGATAACATTAAGGCCATGCAGACAATGACAGCAATGGGTTAGCACTCAGAGGGAAACAGGGAACAGAAACCTTTCTACCCCACAGACCAAGGATCCAACCAGGACCTTGGATTTTTTAAAAAAACTTCTTGGGTTTCTAAACCTAAGAAATCGTAATTTCAAAACACTAGTAGTCACCAAGTCACATTGACTCGCCCCTCTCAACACTGGTCCAATCCCGAGAGGTCAGGGTAAGCAAAACTTGAGATGAAGGGAGAGCTCACTGCAGCTAACTCCTCCACACTTGAAATGCTAGCACTTTGCAGGCTTGAGGCAGGAGGATTATAAAGTTAAAATCATGCTGGTCTATATAGTCAGAACCTTGGAAAGCAAAGAGAAGATATTGTGGAGGTAAGGGACTTGGGAGTGAGGTGTGTGTGTGTGTGTGTGTGTGTATGTGTGCAGAGAATCAGATCAGTGATGGCTATGGGCAGAGAATGGAGAGACTAACTACAAAGGGATATACAGACATTCTTGGGGTTAATGGAAATGTTTTATATCCCGTGCTGGATGATGTTTCTACATGGATATTCAAAGACAGCAGGACTAAGCTCTAAGTTTTAAGCTTTCCCAGCCTGGCTGGAACATACTAGGGGAGAGCAGGATATTGGATGAGATCAGGGAAACAGACACAGGGCCTCCCTGTGCTTTTGGAATAGCTGAGAAATACTACAACACCATTGGAAGCTGGGTGGCTTTCAGACCTAATTTTCTGGTCTCTTAAGGACTAAACCATATCATGTATATATTTTTTTCTTCTCTGGACCTAGAACCTTGGTGACACCCTCCAATAGTTTCCCTGACATGTGTTGACTTTCTGTTCCTTGTGTCTTTGGAGTCCCACTTCCTACTTATGGGGACCCATCTGTCCTTTGACCTTGCCCTTTCTTGCAGCCACACGGGACCCATCTCAGCCCCTGTACCAAGGTGGGCTTTCCAACCTGTCTAGAGAAGGCACAAGAGTTCAGCATCAGGTCTTTCCCTGCCTAATGCTGGATGTCTTGAGCTGAGGTGGCTCAGCAGCACTAGGCCGTATAGTAGTCCCACTTGGGCTCTCTATCACCCAACTCACCTTCACCCAGGGTCTGCTTGAGTAAGTCATGCTTGGCCTGCAGCTTGGTGATGAGGTTACTGCCATTCACATATTCTTTAAATTTCTGTAAGACACATGGGCATAAGGAAGTTAAAGGCCATGCAGCCAAGTGATGACAGGGTCTCTGACTCTAAAACTCACCTCCCTCATAGAGAAACTAAAGAGATATCAGGCTATCCAGGGACCTGGGATGGGGACAGGTAGGCCTCTGTACCTGCTTTACGCTCTTCCAAGCGGCTAACTCTTGGGGATCCTCAGGTCTTATAGGTTGGGTTGTACACACAAGAGGCAGGAGACTGTGGCAGCAGTGGCGGCCAGTTCTACCGTGATGACTGTGGGCAGCACAAGGTGAAAGGCCCCTCTAGTCATGAAAGCTCCACTGCATCCAGGACCAGAGCAATAGGAAAGAGAGCAGGTGCCCTGTAGCTGAGGCCAAGGGCTATCAGAGCTGAGGCAAAGATGAGCCTTTCTTCCACATGAGGATGGGCTATGCAGGCCACTGAGAAACCTTCTCATGGAAGGCTTCTTCCATCACTACACTGGGCGGGGGTGGGGGTGGGGGAGGAGAATGATCTCCTGGTCGGATGAGATAGGGATGGGTGTACACAATGTGCTTTTCCACAAATACCACAGAAAGTCAAGAGTGGGGCCAGGAAGAGTTCTGGCTACCTCCTGGGTCACTGTCCTTGTCAAATTTGGTGTGCTGTGGAACAGTGACAAGGGATGGAGAACTATCCAGAAGAGCAACACACACACACACACACACACACACACACACACACACACATACCCCACTTGCCTGGGTCTCAAACACATCTTCATACAGGTACCAGCTTCCCCTGCTCCACCCCCTATCCCACAGCACCAGAATGCAGCCCAGTCACTGAACCACAGAGTAAGCACAGTGCTGGTAGGTCAGATGGGATGGATGCTGTTGGTGAATGTGAAACAGAAGGGGTGGTGCTGAGGTGGTAAACTGCTTGCCCAGCATGTATGAAGCCCAGGGCTTGAGGCTTAGCAACACATAAACTGGGTATGGTAGTACCTGCCTATGATCCTAGCACTCCTAAGTGCAAAGAGGACCAAGGCCATCCTCAGCTGCATATGAGGCCAACCTGTGCTAAGAAAGATCTTGTCTGAAAAATAATGAAAACAGAATCTCTAGCTGTCAGTCTAGGAAGACAGCAGTGCAAGAAGACATGGGAGTCAGGATATGAAAAAGGTGGAAGGAGGTCTGGCCTGTAGAAGGATGGCATTTGCAAAGGCACTGAGAATCAAGTCACAGCAACAGAGGTGAATGGCTGAAACATCAGCGGAGCTCTCACACAGAAACCCACTGTCACAGCCAGTGCACCCCAACATGACAGAGTGAAGCCAGCCAGAAGTAAGCCAGAAACAACCTGCTCTAACAAGAAAGAGCCTAATATCACCACCTTGCCATTCACCATGGGGGATTTCTCGGATGAATGGGAGGCTATGATGTCTCTCTTTCTCCAGAGACCTACTTAGCTCTAAGGATCTGGCCTTTTATTCATTAAAAGTCATGGCCCTGTGATTCCATTGAGCACCACACACACACACACACACACACACACACACACACACAGTTGCACACATACACACAGTAGTGCTTCTCCATGATCTTGGAGGGCTAGTAGAGAAAGCATGATCATACTTGTTCTAAGGAAGCAGAAGCCCAGATTTGGGTTCCTCTCTGTGCAGCCTGGAATAGAGCCTGTCTATTTACACACACACACACACACACACACACACACATTGTCTCCTTGAGGTAAGCTGAGAGTAGACTTAGGATGTCTCACCAAATGTGTGGCAGAGGACCAGTAGCCTCATCACCAGATCAACACGCAAATTTCTGCTTTAGGAGACCTCAATTCTAACCCTTCGGTTCTAGCTGGGGAGGAATCACAGGGGCCTTTAAACTTTCAAACTTCAGAGCCCTGCTGAGGAGTATAGGAGACAAAGTGCTTGAATTTTAAGCAAGTGCCCTGGCCTTGGGTAATTCACACCTTTGCTTTAGTCAGTAAGAGCTGATTTACAGGTTGGTCATGCAGGCTTAGAATAATACTTCTGATTTTATCACATGTCTAAGAATTCATAAAAACCAGAGGTGAGGGGCACACATAAGAGGTGGATGGTGCCTGAGTTGTCTTCCAGCCTCCATATACATGTGCATACATGTATACACATACACATATCAGTATGCACACATATCAATATGCATAAGCATACAAATATATACACAAAAAAGAAAAAATGTAACACTTTTCCTTTGTCAAAGACACTACATTCCTTTATATATAAGCAGGCTGGGTCCCTTCTGCTGCTGCTACCTAGATTTTATTCTACTGCCGAAGTGACTTTCTTCCTGCTCCCTCTTAGGCCACTAATAGAAGTGGTAGTTGCCAGGAGTCGTGAAGACCAGCTTTGCTTTTTTTCTTGACAAGCTCAAAGACTACAGATGGAAGAAATGCGGTGTGTGCCAGCTATGGGATTGCAGCAGGATCTTGATTAAGGCTAATCACAGTATAGAGTTGGATACTGGAACTGGGCTAATTTGTGACAGATTCTATGAGGATCATTCAGTCAATGTCAGCCTAGCTATATGTCTCAAGTGACTTGAGTTTCAGCCTGGTGATCGCCTGGCATAGTCATTACATTTTCTTTTTAGCAATCTTTAAGATATTGAAGACCATGCTTCCTGAATCTGCACATCATACAAGATCTGAAAAGAACATAGGGGTTGAACAGTTGGATTAGGATGGGACCTGTGACATGAATCTATCAAGAAGATAGCTCAGGGAAGACCAACTAAATCATTACCTACAAGACCTTTAAGAAGAGGAAGATCTGGCTCCCTTAAAGGGTAGGTCTGGCTGCATATGGTGGGGAGATTCAGCTGATACCATCTGAGCTAAAAACAAACCCAAAACAAGCACAGAGTGTGGCAGCACTTGGTGACTTTTACTTTAGCTATTTAGAGAATGTATTCAGGAGCTACTAGGGTGCTGAGGCTACTCAGAACCGAAGGTGCAAGATGGAGCCAGAAAATTCAGGGTCTTCAACCTGGAGAAGGGAAATCCCAGCTTTCTGCAGCCAGGGAAAGACTGTCAGATTGCATCAGCTTCACTCTGGTCACCAAAGAAAACAGCATGCAGACCAATGGGCAGGAATCCTGGGGTGGTAGATTTCCTGAAGATAACAGAGAAAAGCTCCATATCCTGTGCCAGCCACACTCAAGCAGAAGGGCTGTCTGGGTGAAAGGAAGCTTGTCACCCTGGGCATTTGAGCAGAGTCCCCATGAGCTTTGTGTGGATGTGTACCAGATGGAAAGTAAGTCCCTTACAGCCCCAGCCTACACGTTCAATAAGCATACCTTGAACTAAAGCCTCTGTTTTCTTCCCTCCTCCTCCTGTCTTCTGGTTAAATTGAAGGTCTGGAACCTTGGATTTTATAGGAGAGGCTAGCAACTCCTGAATAATTTGCCTGCAATTCTGAGGTCCTAGTTTTCAACATCTAGTCACCAATTTAAGACGATAATGCATGCACAGAACTCCAGGTGGTTACCTGCCTCTTTCACCAGGTTCCTCTAACCCAGAGGTTCTCAACCTGTTCTCAAGACCTGTGGGTCTTAACCCCTTTGGGGTTCACATGGCAGATATCCCGTATATCAGTTATTTATATTATATTATGATTTATAATTAGCAAAATTACAGTTATAAAGTAGCAATGAAATAAGTTTGTGGTTGGGGGTCACCACAACATGAGGTATTAAAGGCTTGCAGCATTAGGAAGGTTGAGAACCACTGATCTAACCCAGATGACTGAAACTCTCTCTTTGGCTCCTTCTGAAAGCATCAGTGACCATCAGTCAGGATCAGTGCCAATACCACCCACTGGAGAGTCACTCTACACTTCAGAAAACCAAGCTAGGCAACCTAATGTTGAAAAGCACGTTGGGAGATTTATGTCTTATTTTTTTTTGCTGGCTCTCTCTCATTCAGACTTCTTCTAAAGCCACAGGCAGGGGGTCCTTGATGCTACTTACTGTAAAATAAAACATTTCTGTTTCCTGCTGGTTGGCTCTCCTTTTGGCAATGTTGATTTTGCTCATGTAGGTCTCAGAAGCGGCTGACTTTATGGACTCAGTAGATCGGCTGTGCTGGAAGGCGTCAGAGACATCGAAGTCCTCCACAGTCAGCATGTCCTGTAAGGTCTGCATGGTGGCATCCAGGGTTTTCCTAACCTAGGGAAAAACAGCATATCCACAAACACCCTTTATTTCCTCATGCCTCTGACACCACTAACTCCTTTTCCTGAGAGTCACTTTGGTCTTTTACTTAATGTTTCTAGAAGATACACAGGACAAGATGGCTATTCTTCTTATACTGACATAAACAGTGATATGAATTGGTCATTGGTCTAAGACCAATAACTGGCAGGCAAAGAAGCCAGATTGCCCAATCTAAGGTCATTTAATGGATTGCTTCTGTCTGAGAGACCTTGGGGACATCATGAGGATAATGGAGTCAAGTTTTTAGGTTTCTTTCTCTGGTCTGGTCAGAGGAACCTAAACAAGGCTCCTCCTGGGGGCTAGAGGGCTGTCATGCAATGTCTACTGAACATGGAAATCAACAGAAATTCTCTCATGTTTTCTCTAATTTATGGAGGAATGGGTCATCTGATAGTGGGTGTGATCTGCTGGGAGACAGGACTTGGGGAAGTTAGTTCACTGCCACAGGATTTAGTTGGGACACTAGCTTCCATTCTGAGGTACAGTGGAACCACACACCACAGAGATGACAGAAGCAGGGATTGAGGACCTCAGTCTCACAGAAGCCCTGGGATGAATAGGGTCTCAGTGGCAGACTCCATATCCCAGAGGTATGTCAGTCCGAAAGGGGTCACTGCCAAAAAATCTGACTCTATTATTATAAGACCATTGACACTCAAAGTCTCTCTTATTGTTCCTCAGTTGAAATGTCACCTCCTAACGGTGTCAGGCTCCTAGTGTCTTCACATAGCACACCACTCACAGTCCTCTGCTTCTCCATATCCAGTCACTCACTGGTCTTCCTATTATAATTAGTTTTCTCATCAAAAAGAGGAAAAACTGTTCATTTGATTTATTCTCTATCTATAATAATGTCTAGCATGTATTATGTGAATAAATATTACATAAATAAATACTTGTTGAATGAATACATGAGTGAATAAATCAAAATCAATTATTTTTTCCAACACAAACTGATGAAAAGCTGATTCAAGGATAAACATATCCAAGCCCATCCGCAGCTGACAAAGAGGGCCGTGTGCCTCAGTCTCCTCCCTATTGCCCTGATTTCCACTTAAATTTCATTAATGACATTATACATATAAGCCATTAACAATCCTTTGGGGGAAAGACAGAAGATTATCAGAAAGAAAGAAAGCATTCTGTCTGTTTCTGTATCTCTCTTGCCAGGTTTGAAAAACAAGTCAGTTTGTCTTCTTGTGACCTTCCCTGGGCCTGCTTTGATGTGTGTCATTCATCTGTCCTACCTCTACCCTTTGTTGAGATTCCAAGCACAACTGTCCCTATTCTCCAGGCTAGCCTTCACGACATTTGAGGACCGTGGCTATACCTTCTCACCTTCCACTATGACTGTACTTCTCAGGGATAAGTTTGTCACACCACATTGAAGGGCCCTGCACATGTCCTGGGGTCCTTTCTCCAGGGTCTCAGGGTTGGCTGACATCTTTCCTCCGACACTGCCCACCTGGCTTCTTTAGTCGATGTCAAAAAGGGCCCCGAGCAGCGTGATGCCGTACCACCAAGCAATATGGGAGGAACACTGGGCTAGTGAGGCTGACCTGTTCCCTGGGATTTGAAAATCCACACTACATTTAGGGTGGTCTGGACTATCTTTCATCGTGTAATTTTCAATATTAACTCTGACTCCTGATGGTGACCACAGAAACGTACTGCAGAGAATGAGGCGGAAAATCACGAAGTCAGTAGTAACCACCAATCATTCTACAGCTGAGATGAGATGAAACATTTTTTCCCCAAACATTCTAAGCCTGCAAATCTGCAATTATTCTAAACATAGAGTCTGCTTCCTCTTGTTTCCCTTCCACCTGAGGTCTCGTAAGCATCATTTAGGCCACTAAACATTCTTAGTGCAGGTGGGCTGTGTGCTTGTATAGTCTCCCACCAATAAGCTGTCATTTCCTATATAGTCCAGGGCACGAGACTCCCTGCACAAGCCCCAAGGCACTAGACCCGGGGTGGCAGTTCACTCACCTCCTCATTCTCAATCTTGAGAGTGGCCAGCCTGGACTGCAGCTGGTGGTACCGCATCAGCAGCTCTGTCTGGACAGGCTGCTGTGCACTGACCTGGCAGACCTGCAGAAAGAAAACCTGTCATTGCAGATGCCTGGAGCCACAGTGCAGGCTATCATTAACATTTCATCCAGAGCCCAGGCCACAGGTCCAGCAAGGCCAAGTGACCTGTCCTGGGTCACCCATGTTGGGTGTAGCAAAGGCAGTACCAGATAGGAACCAGGGTCCTCTTACGCTAGCTTCTACCCTCCTGCTGTTGCCAGCTCGGATTTCCAGTCACAATCGTTACATTCGCACAGTAACTATGGGCTTAAAAAGACCTTTACTATAATCTTAGCAAGCCAAACTAATGAATTGCAAGGCAGAGAGTTGTGGAATGAAAGTAACTGCTTGAACAGAGTGTGGCAAGCACAATGAACCAGAAGCAGCTGACAAGTGCTCCTGTCACTACGTGAATACCTAAAAATGCACCAGAGACAACTGTGACAATCACACTGTTGGTCTGCTAATGTCCACAAATCTCATGTCCACAAACTCAGCCAACCAAGGAGAGAAAGTGTATATATAGGAGAGGGAAAAACATCTCTGGACTGAACCTAGGCAGGTATTTTCTTCTTGTCGCCCCCTAAACAATACAGCACAAGAAGCGTGCACAGCATTTGCACAGTGTCAGGTATGCTAAGTAATGCAGAGGTGACTTCAAGTGTGCAGGAGGATGTGCACAGGTTCTCTGTACGGTGTTATTATATAAGGTGCTTCAGTAACCTTGAATCCAGACATCACCAGTGCCCTGGAAGCAGTCACCCACAGATACCCAGATCGGCTGTGCTATTCTTTCAGGGTCTTCCCTTCCAAAGCTGTTACTACCTGTGAGTTTGTTTATTTTCCTCTCCAGACCTCAGTAAGGGTCTGGGAAGCACAAGCATGGAAGGAGAGTCAATTGTCTGGTGTGTCAGAGGCTCACAGTATTGGAAGGGGCATCAGATGAGGACATCTAAGGTCCAAGGAGATAGGAGACTATTTCTAGGAAGACTGGAGCATCCTTGAAGTCTCCTAAACACACCTAGGAGGGAGACAGGAAAGTCAAGGTCTACAATTCTGTAGATAGAGGACCTTAGCGAACAAGGAAATCATCTGAAGAAGCTCATGAATTAAGAGCTGATCCTAGGCCACTGTGGTAAATAAATGGCGTGTGTGCTTGGGCTTTTTTCTCCTCCCACAATGCACTAGGAGTATGGGAGAGAACAGAAGTTGTAGCTATGTTGTTAACATGCCCTTCTCCCAAATTTGAGGCATGGGAAACTCATTCTCAAAGTCATGTGAAAACGGTATTCGGAAGTGGGGCTGCCAGGAAGTGACTAGGTTTCAATGAGGTGCTGAGGCTAAGGCTGCTATAACAGCATTAGTGGTTTTAACAGACGCAGAAGAAAGACAGATCTGAGCTACATGCTTGTTCTGCCTTGCATTATGGTAGCCATGTCATTTTACAGCAGGACAACCTTCACAAGATGACAAGCAGATGCCAGCACCATGCTTTTAGACCTCCTGGCTTTCCTGTCTGTGAGCTGAAGAAGCCGCTAGCCCAGTGGTTCTCAACTGATGCTTCAACTTTAACACAGTTCCTCATGTTATGGTGACCCCAACCATAAAATCATTTTTATTGCTACTTCATAACTAATTTTGCTACTGTTAGGAATCGTAATACAAATATTGAATATGTAAGATAGTCTTGGGTGACCCTTTGTGAGAGAGTTGGTGAGCCCCAAAGGGGTCATGACCCACAGGTTGAGAACCACTGCTTATTCAGGTTTAGCTAACTTTCATATGATAATGGAAACTGGACTCCTTCAGCCAGCCCCAAGCAGGATTCTGGCAGGAAGCCTACCTCATCCCCCATGTGGGGCTGGAACTCAAACTTGAGTGGAGGGCAGAAGACCTGGCTGCACATATCCATGACTGTGTGCTTGTCACTCCGGGAGTCCAGGTTGTCCACTGCATTCTCTATGACGTCCAGGCCCTCATGGCGAGAGGTCTCCAGGTTATATTCTGCTGAGAGGTAGGTCCGAAAGGTGCGGGCCAGGCTGGCGTGAAAGCCCAAATCACAGCACTTTGGGGATAGGCGAGGACAGAAGGGTACAGGTGAGAGTTGGGGTGGGGACTTGAGGTCACTTTCTATTCTAGCAGAGCACTTTGGAGTCCTGAACAAGCCATATCAAATCACCCAGAGGGAGCTCAGAGCTGAAATGTGGGTGCCAACAGAGTATCCTTCAGCTCCCAGGCTCTCAACACAGTCTTACCTCCAAGCTTTCTCCATGCAGGCTCTCTGCCTGGAATGTTCTCTGTTTGCCCTTTAACTTATAGCCAATTTCCTTCTGGAACTTTTCCTTGATATTCTCCACACTGAGTTTTGGTCAGACATCCACATGCTCCCTACTTCCCTCACTGTGACCCTTGCCCCTTGGCACTGGAGTTGTCTATTAACATGCTTTAGGCAGGTGTGCTTCATGGGGCTTGCTGGCTCTTGCCCACTGCTGAGCTTTAAGTCCGAGTCCATAGTAGGTGCTCAATAAACATATGGCTAGTAAAAGGGCATAAAGACTAAATGCTGAAAGTTGAGAGCAAAGACGAGGGGCCTGGCTTTAGGCCATTGGAAGGCTGAGCAGACTGCTCCCCCCAAACTCCATGCCCTGGCTTCCAGAATAGGATACACAGGGTTAGAGGAAAAGAATCCAGCAACCACTACCAAAGCTCTACTGCGTACCTACAGGAATGGATTCCCCCCATTTATCATGGAAGGGAAGACAGAGAAACAGTCCTGTCTCTAAGACACTGTCTTCCATCACTGCCAGTTACAATATCCTTCTTTAAGCCTGGTGCTCTCCAGGGAGCCCTGCATAGCTTGCTAACCACAGTCAGTGTTCTACTCTTCAGTGATCAAACTCACTCCTCTAAGGAGAACTTCCCAATGGCTTCTCCATGGTGGCTGGACCCAAAAAGGGTTCAGGATGAATGATCTCCTCCTCTTCCATACCAGCAGCCTCTAATGGTGTAAACTGTATACACTTCTGCCCTGTGCCCTCACACCTAGCAGAAAGCCTGGTGCAGAAGGGAAGACTTTGGAGGTTGGTACTGTGTATCTAACTAATCAAGCTATGGGGAGTCCCCTAGAGTTCGCTTCTATCCACACAAAGTGTGACCATGAATTAGCTCATATCCCAGCCCCAAACACTTCCGGCCCTTATCCTCTAGTACGGTTACAAAAGCTGGGCCAGTCCACATGTCGGTTAAGGACTATGGCCAGTCCCATCTCTCCCAGCTTATGAGACGCACCAGCCTAGATAGGTTCCCACCTGTCCCAGACTTGCTCTAGCTGATGAGATGTCACAGCCTGCATGTAGTCCTCACCCAGCCCCAAGCTACCCAGGTTACTCACATCGATGAGATCAGAGACATCGTGGATGTAGTATTTGCTGATAGCTGCGTTGGTGGCTGCCAGATTCAGCAGGTAATCATTTCGGGCCTTTGTGCACTTGAGCTTGTTCTCAGAGTACTTGGCCTGCCTCTGTAGGGAGAAGACATAGACATCAGAGCCTAGCCAACCAGGGGGATGATCTGTGACTTCATGTGAACCATCTGACAATGAGTCCCACCTCCCAGTTATGGGATGCTTCTGTACCAAGGGAGTGCTGATGGACCCTGAACTCGGCAATACACATCATCATCTTTCATTCAGCAGCCCTCCAGGTGGTCTCTACCAGTGGGGAGTAGATAAGACACCCCACTCTCAATACCCTCCATGGGCTTCCAATGCTTTCAATGGCCCAGAGGTCTTCAATATTTGGCTTCTGGCCAACACTCCAGGTCACCATTCCAGCCCCTTCTCTGTGTATCCGCCTTCTCTCATCCAACCTCTTTTGACCATCCTCAAGAGATCAAGTTCATCTCTGCCCTGAGTCCTTCAGACTCTTTGGAGTCACACACCTGAGCCTCTAAGCAGTCTGTTCCTTGATGTCACTCAGGACCTTACCCTAGCCAATAGCCACATAAGCCCCTGATGATGGTCCTGTCTGCTATATATCCCTCCCATATCTACTCCTCTCCCCTCCTCTATGCTGTTAGACGCTCTTTGTTTATTTGTTGATGGTTAGTACCCACACAAGAAAGCGAATTCCATGAAGTCGGTGCCATGACCTGACTCACTTGTTGGTTGTGGATCTGAGGCACACAAACCAGACTGACTAAGCAAGTCCTGGATCATTTTTAAGAAGAGGGGGAAGGGGGAGGAGGAGAAGAAGCAGAAAAGAAGGAGAGAGCTGGGTCTGAATGAAAGCACGAACAGGGAAGAGGACACAGAACCTTTTATTCTGAGCCAGCCCAGAAGGCAGGAGTGAGAAGGCACAATAGATAACTGCCCCTTCCAGACTGAGGTGTCTTGGTGCTGGGTCTCTTTAAGGAAAACATACTTTGTTCCCTCAGCTAGCTGCTCTTCTCCATTACTCATTTCCTGTGAGATCTAGCTTTGGAGTATACCAGTCCCTCTGCCAACCTTGAAATTCTCCTCAGGCATCTCCCTTGACTTGTTCCTAGATCCTCTTACTCAGGGACCATCCAACATGTCTCCTGGAACTCACATCCTGTAACAGCTAGACACCCATCCAGTTAGAGTCTGGATACTCTTGACCCTATCTAGGGACTTACTGTGACCTTGAGACCATTTTCCTGGACTGAGTTCATTTTAGAATTGAAGAGGACAGTCATGGCATCTTAGCCGAACTCATCTATTTATAGAGGAGGAAATGAGAGCTCAAGAAGAAAAGTGGCTTGTCCAGGAGCCAAGTTGCTAATTAGCATATGACTACACCAGGAATGAGCCTCTAGAATCCCAGCCAGTATCTTTCCACCCAGGCACTTCCTCTGGAGAGAGACCTTGCACCAATGAGCAGCCACTCACTTGTCCTCCTGCAATTCCTCAGAATACCAACAATCTACTTCCGGTGTCCATTGGTGTGTCTATTCCAGACATTTTACGTAAGTTATTTTGTAGAGTGTGTGGCCTCTTGTACCTGGCTTCTTTCATTTAGCATAGTGTCTTTGGTAACCATCCATATTGTGGCTTGTATCAGGACTTCATTCCTTCTCATGGCTGAGTTACAGTCAAGTTGTTTTCATCTTTTGGTTACGATGAACAACGCTACTGTGAACATTCACATACAAATTTTTATACAAATATGTTTTCATGCCTCTGGGACAGACACCCAGAAGAGGTACTACTGAGTTATATGGTAGCCTGGTCCATGTATATCTAATATCTGAAGAGCAGCCGGATGGCTTTCCACAGTGTCAGAACCACTGATATACACAGCCTGCCCCTGACAGTGGTGCAAGATTTCCTGATTTCCACATCTGTATCCATGCTTTCTCCTGCCAGCTTTTTTTTTTTTTTTTTTATCTTGATCCTTCTGGTGACTGTGAAGTACTATGAAGCTGTAGTTTTTGTTCACATTTCCTTCACCCTTAATGATGCTGAGCAGATTGCTCTGCATTTACAGACCACTTAGGCAGGTTCCTACGAACTGTCAATATTAAGAGGCTACAGGAATGGCTCAGAAGTTAAAAGCAGTGGCAGTTCTTCTAGAGAACCTAGGTTTGATACCCAGCATCCACATGGTGGTTCACAACTGCCTGTAACTCCAATTCCAGAGGATATTAACCCTCTTCTAGTCTCTGAGGGCACCAGGTATACAAGTGGAGTGTTTATATGCATGTTGACAAAACACCCATAGACATAAAATAATAAAAATAGAAATATCTATTTAAATTCCTTGCCCATTTTGGTATTAAGTCTTTGTCTGGATTTTGGGTTTTCCTCACTTTCAAAATTATACCAGGACACACACACACACACACACACTTTTATATGCTTCCCTGGTTACCCAGGTTCTGTTGGGGTTTTGTTCCCATCCAGTCTGTAATTTCTAAAGGATCCTATAATCATAGAATTAGGCCCATAGGAGAGCAGATAAACATCAGACACAGTGGCTGGCAGATGGAACTCTGCAAATGTTTCCTGGTGGTGGGGAATAGATGGATATAGAGAATTCAGCAAGAACATCATAGCCTTTGAAGAAGAAAGGAGAGTTAGAAGTCACACATGGGTCCTGCCCTTCAAAACTCCCTGGCCATAGCAGACATCATTAACTGATCTCAGCACCTTTTCAGCTAAGCCTCGATAGAGCTTCAGAATCCTCAACAGAGCTTATCAATTTATCAGAGCCAACACGAGCAACGAGACTTATTCATCAGATTTAACAATGGGAACTCAGGGAGCGGTGTTTAAAACGCCAGCTCAGAGGCTGGGGAGAGGGCTTGGTGGGTGAAGTGGTTGCTGTGTATGCATAAAGACCTGTTTGGATCCCCAGCACCCATGTGAAAACTGAAAATAGGTCTGTAATACCAGAGCTGGGGGAAAGGCAGAGGCAGGAGGCTCCTAGGGGCTTGAGTGCCAGCCAGTCTAGCCAGCAAACTACAGGTTCAGAGACAGACACTATCTCAAACAGTAAGGCAGAGAGCAATAGAGGAAGATATTTGATGTCACCCCCTAGCGTCTACATAGCCACACAAAGGTGAGGACCACATCTGCATACAAATGTGCACATAGTTGCATACAACATATGCAAGTAAACAAACAAATAAACCCCAGGCTCCAAATTTTGAGCTCTCTCCTCTATACCTACAAAAAAAAAAAAAAGCCTTGTAACACTCATACACAGTGATTCTGAAGCTATAGTCTTTGACACCGCCACAGCAATTTCACAACAGACCCGTGGCAGCTTTAAATATTAACTTGACAACCTAGAATTGCTTAGGAAGAGAGTGTCAATGAGGAACTATCTACATTGGGTTGGACTCTGGACATGTCTAGAGGAGACTGTCTTGAGTGACAAGAGAGGGAAAGACCACCCTGAATGTGGTGATCACACCACCTCATTGGCTGGGTCCTGGACTTTGTTAAGTGAATAAAGCTAGCTTAGCATAAGCAAGCAATCGAGTGAGCACATGTGTTCTGTCCTCCCTGCCCTTGATTGTGGATGTGATATGAGTAACTGTTTTCAGGGGCTGCTACCTGGATGTCCCTGCTGTCATAGACTGGTAAGTGTGAACTAAAGTAACTCTTTCTCCATTAAGTTGCTTTTTGTCAGGATATTTTATCCCAGCCACACAAACGGAACCAGGACAGGCCCCTTCATCCTTCATGCGAAGGGGAAGTGTCTGAGTGCATGGCTTTCCTCTCCATGCCGTGCCCCATTTCCCTCACTCACCTTTTCCTTCATCTTCTCAATCTTCTTCACAGAGCTTCGGCGCTGGGGTCTGTCCTCGTGCCGGAGCAGGTTCATGCTCAGGTCTCCTGACTTGTTAAACTGTTTCTCTTCCTGCTTCTCGGCCTCCTTCAGCTTGCTTTCTGCACTGATGCTCTCTGCATGGTACATGTGGTAGGTTTTCATGACCTGAGGACACATGCGTACAAGAAACCAATAGCCTGTTATGGCTCAGCGTGGTACATTCTGTGGTTCCTGGCCCCATCCCAAGGGCCGCAGAACTCTTCCTTTCCCATAACACATTCACCTTAAGCTCTTTGCTTCTGCACATACTCCCTGAGGGCTGGAAATAAAGATGCTACTCAGGTGTACCAGCTTTATTGTGAGTGACATCATCATCACCCTCATCTTCGTTATCACCATCACATCACTGAGGCCCTACTGAGTGTCAAACCTGAGCTAATACACGGAAAATTAAGAAAAACCACAACAACCTACACGTGATATGGCAAACCATGCCCTCTAGTTGGCCATCCTCTCTAGTCCTGCCAGATCTGATCCCTGTATTCTCCTTCCTTATCTCCACCCCTAAGTCAATGGAAAAGCCCTTAAAATGGGTTTTGCACACGGCCCTGTTACATAACCTAATAGATACTCTGTGGTCCCTGGAATACATTCAACCTTAGCTATACAAAGAATTCCAACAAAGCAAATTGCACTCGGCTACTCAGCTCCTATAACAAAACAGGATATGGTTATAACAGGGGGAATTCTGAGCCTGAAGTGTCATCCTGAAACCTTTCCAAGCTTGCAAAGTGTCCTATGAATGAAACACATAGCCAGCACTTCCTCTCAGATCTCAGCGGAGACTCTTCTCTGCTGCCCAACCCACGAGACACACTTGCAGCTTCCCCTAGAGCTTCAAGAACCCACTTCTCACTGGTCTCATCCACTCCAGTATGCCAATTCCAATCCACTCTTTGCAAACCCCACAGCCCAGAAAATATTGTCAGTGGTATGTGTTTGACATCTAGTGGCCAGAAGGAGTGAGTGCAGCCTTCTAGGTGAGCAAAGAGGTCCTGTTGTTCCCAGGGTCTTTAGGCTGTGGTTCGTAGGAAGAGCTGATGATGGTCAGGAGTTGACAGTACCTACTGCGGTTTTCCCTTTCAATGATCCCTAATCCCTCTCTGCCCAGAGACACTCAGCTCTGTGGCATGGCTGTCATGTTGCTATTGCTGCTTGTATCTAGATACACATGCCCCTCCTGGGTTCAACTTTTCTACTTCAGCTTTCCAGGTCTGCTTATCTCAACATCAACCTGTCATCCTCACTGGGTAGTTCACAGGGGTGGGGAAAGCATTTCTATGTGTGTCTAGATCAAGGGTTCTTAATCCGTGGGTCGCAAACCCTTTGGGTACGAGTGATCTTTTCACAGGGGCCACATATTGCACATCAGATATTTACATCATAATTCATAACAGTAGAAAAATTACAGTTATGAAGCAGCAATGAAACTAATTTGATGGTTGGTGGCCACCACAACATGAGGAACTATACTAAAGGGTCACGGTATTGAGAAAGTTGAGAAGCACCATGCTAGGTCTGCTCAATCATCCACCTGTGCAGCTGTCTAACTGCACCAGGGCAGCATCCCAGCTGGGTGTTCCACTTCCTGTTTTCTTCTGCCTCAGTTTCTTCCTCCCATCCCTTGCCATTACCTCATTTTTTTTCACCTCACTCCCCTTTGTGCCACACCATGTTCCTAATATGCCCCACAAGCCAAACTTTCCAGGATCCTTTCTAGGCTGTTATGAAATTCCCATGCATGAAAAATAGAGCCTTGAGGCTCAAGTATCTGTGATCCCATTGATTGCTGGTCCCAGAGATAGCAGGGAACTCAATTGCGTAGGGTGACATGGCAGACAGCTGCCACTAAAGAGTGCATTTGGAGGCCTCACTGAAATGAGTTGATTTATGCCAGAACCCTTGATTTTTGCCTTTATTTAATTATAGTTATCCTTTGGTATTCATGAAGGGCTGGTTCTCAGTCTGCCTCATGGATGCCAAAATCTGCAAATGTTCAAATCTCTTATATAAACAGTGCCATAACTGCGCAAGGCCTAAGTATGTCCTTCTGTAGGCTTTAAGTTGTCTCTAGGTCACTTATAATATTTAATGGAATGCAAATGTTATATAAGTAGATACTACAGTTACTGAGAATAATTATAGAAAGACAGTCTGTTCATGCTCAGTGTAGGCTTTTCTTTCTGAATATTTCCACAGATGCAGAACTCACAGATGCCCAGAGCCAACTGGACCTGAAACACAGACTTCAGCAGGGTAAGAATTTAGTTCAATAGCCTACAAGAGTCTTGATATTTCAATTCAGGACAAGTGGAGTTGTATTCAAGCTTACCTGGTACTTCAAAGTTTACAAACATCTTTCTATTATCTGCATCCACTGAAGGAGCATTTCAAACTATCCTTAGCACGCTCTTGGAAGCAGAATGACATCAATTCAAACAACGTCACCTATGGCTTATTTAGCCCCTCCTACATGATGAACCTTGATCTAAGCTCCTGCATGCACCACAGTATTTCTCACAAAAAATTTGAGAAAGAAAACTGTGATCTCTGATTTATAGGTGAGGACCTAAAAACACTTCTTCCTTGAGGTCAAAATGCTAGCACCACTGAAGTCAAGGCTCAAAGCCAAGACGGCTGACCCCACTGTTGGTGTCTAATGAGCACAGGTCATTATAGGTCTCTTTTACTATGCTTCTCTACCATGCAAAGGGATGACAGGATCCTAAAGCCCACAGGACTTCAAAAGAACTTGGAGTCCCAACCATCCTTCTACATCCTCAGTGCCCATGGAGAGTACGTTTGTCTTCATATTCTCCTAATGATGCTCAGACAGGGGGAGATATAGGTACTTTATAAACAGGAGGTGTGTAGTGACTGGCCTTCAGCAGCTATACACTAGCATGGGGCACATGTCCGGAAACTTCCATCCCACTTGATTCCCAGCATGGAGTTCTAGGGAACAACCTCAAAAGGATGCATAAGTTGGGACGCTATCCTTAAACGCATGTGTTCTCAAAATGTAAGAGACAGGAGTTCCTCCAGGAATCTTGATGTCTTATTAATCCCTCACTCAAAAAACTGAAACCAGAGTCTGGGTCTTTTGACCCTTAAGGCCTGGCCTTTTCTGGTAATTCTGATGCCTTTTGCTGTATTCACGTGCCTGTCACAACTTTCCAAATGCCCAGATCTTGGGAGGGAAGTGATGGAGATCCTTCAGACCCTCACTCAAATGCAAAACATAACAGAGAACATGGAAGTCAACAGCATCCATAAGGAGACATGATTTATAGGGCATCAAGAGGATTAGTTTCTGGGAAACAGCTTCTCAAAGATACAGTCTAGGTATACTTTGATATTCAAGAAGGGCCATGTCCAGGCACAGAAACCTCTGCCTGCAGCATTTGAGTGTCCATGAACTCCTGGGCCAAACCTTTAATAAGACATCCAAGAAAGAAGGGAACTCCTATAATTTATTTGATCACCCAGTGAAGTGACTTATGATCTCTCTAGAACTTGAGCTCTATTTTCATTTGCTCATTTTTGTATCTATAGACTGTCTTCTCCCTACTGGAATGCAAACTCCTGAGGTAGGACCTTGCCTCTTTCTCTTTGCTAGAATACAGACAGACATCCTGTACGCATGCAGGAATATGTAGATGGATGAATTAGATGAATATGGTTGGATGGATGGTAGGTGGAAAGATGAGTGGAGAGATGCATGGGTGGAAGGTGGAAAGGAAAAGGAAGAGAGAGAAGGGGAAGGAGGAGGAGAAAGAGGAGGAGGAGGAGGAGGAGGAGGAAGAGGGAGAAGAAGAAGAAGAAGAAGAAGAAGAAGAAGAAGAAGAAGAAGAAGAAGAAGAAGAAGAAGAAGAAGAAGGGGAAGAAGAAGAAGAAGAAGAAGAAGAAGAAGAAGAAGAAGAAGAAGAAGAAGAAGAAGAAGAAGAAGAAGGGAAATGGGGAAGATACAGTTAATTCCTCTGCCTTTGATCTGATGCCCTCAATCATTAAATACTTCTTATGTACCTACTACTATATTAGGCTATACCAGGAAATACTACAGATTATAAGACATATAAAATCTAATAGAATGTACACTGTGGTGGGGATATGAACGATAATATTGGTTTCTATCACAGGGTATAGTAAGAACTGTATGTGTGGGGGGTATGGGCACTATAGGAAAGCTTCCTGGGAAGTGGGAGTTAAACTAAGCCTTGAAGAAAGAGTTGCTGTTATCTGTGAGAATGGTGCCTGAGGGTGTGCATGGGCTGTTCTAGGTAAAGAAATGTTAGCCCAGGAGAAGCAGGAGCTGAACAGTGCTGAGGAATAGCTGATGCATTAAAAAGTATCAGGTGACTGCTCATCAGAGCCATTGCCTGATCCTCCCCCTCCTCACCCTGCTGTCCCCTCAGTGGACATCTGTTGTTTTTCTCTGCCTGGGATCATCTAGTCCTCCTCCAGGAACAGCTTCCAGGTTTTATTTTGAGGAAACCCCCCAAATTCCCCTCCATTATTTTCAGTTCATGGAGTTCATGGGAAGCTGACATGACCTCTAGTCCTGGCAGTGGTCATGAGACCCAGGCTAGGCCAATTGATAAACATCATTTCAATCTGGTCAAAATGATGGTGGCTAATGATCTAAGCCAGCCCGATTAGATGCTACCCTGGGGGCCTTATTGAAAATACTGAGAAGGGAGTGGTACTGTGGTATCAGGAAGGGGGTGAGGTCAAGAGGAGGCAAAATTCAAAGGAGAAACTCACACAGAGGAAAACGAACCCACAAGGAGCTAGAGGCTGGTTCCCAAATAAGGAAAGATGGATGGAAGGAAGGAAGGAAGGAAGGAAGGAAGGAAGGGAGGGAGGGAGGGAGGGAGGAAGGAAGGAAGGAAGGAAGGAAGGAAGGAAGGAAGGAAGGAAGG